ATAGACGTCTGCTGTGCTCTCTGTGAGCCAGTTGCCTAAGTACATGCGGCGCTCCCGGGGGATCCCCATCTGGAAAGCGCAGTCCGGGATGAACACTCGGAATCACCAACCCCGGAGTCACTCCCCGACGGAGAAGAGCATCCTTGAGCCATCTCAGAGCCCTTTCTGGTGTGGAAGGTCTCGGGATCAGCCCTGCGAAGTCTTTGCTCACTGTCGGGAGCAAGTAGTCCATGTCCTGGAATGCCTCCTCGGATACCAGTCGCCGGACCGTGGCCACCCAGGTAGTCCACCAGGGGATCCCCGTGAAGCTGTACTTCGGAGCCAAGGGGACCGGGTTGTGGTTGATTCGTGCTGCTGAGACCGTCTTGGTCTGCCAGGCCTTCAGCTCCACGGTGTTACTGGTGTGGATCAGGTCCTTGGGGTGAACATGCTGGAGGTCATTGGCACCGGGCGAAGCCCAGATGAATGCGTCGTGTCTGAGCTCCTCCCCGGGGCCGCCTGCGTACCGGGGCCGGTGGCACCCAGGTGATCGTAGCCAGCCCCTTCCTCCAGAGCCCATATGACCTCTTTGCTGGGGACCACCGCCTTGCGCTGTGGCCGGGTGACCGTGTCCGTGAGTGCCTCTTCCAGCGAGCTCTTCTTGGACTTGAGGCGATGGAGCTCGTCTATCTTCAGCAGACCGAAGGTCTTGGAAAACCATTTGAGGGTGTTCCACACCTGCCATAGCTTGCACGGGGTGACCTCCTCTTCGGCGAGCTGGTTGAGGAGAGAGCGAACATGTCGTTCCTGCCATGGAATCACCGTGAAGCCTCTCTTCCGGAGACTCTCATAGACCAGGCAATGTTGCCTGAGCGTCCGGAACCTATTGTCCCCCAGCCCAGGAGGTCCAATGCCTCCTTGCGGAAGTCCTCCCCCAGGATGTCCTGCATGTACGCGATGTGCTCCGCAAAAGGGGCAAAGTGGGCGAGGAGCTGTTCCGCCCATTTCCCGCGCATATGGAGTTCCAGCGCTCGCTGGGTCGTGGGCTCCATTTCCCTTATTTTGCCCGGGCGCCAGTGCCTCCACTTCAGAAGCTCCGGTTGTTGGAGTGGGGGGTGGGTCATCTCGTGAGAACCACCTCCATTGGTCCTGGCGGTCCCATTCATTCTCGCGGGGAAAAATTTTCGCTCGGCTTGCTCCGCCGTCGCCAGAGGAGGAGGAGGAACCATAGGCTGTCCCACAGGTCGCCGCGGACAGAGGCTGGGGAAGCCTGCCTACCGCCGACGCCACCAGGCCGTTGAAGTAGTCCGTCGGGACCACGTGGTCATCTTGTCCTACCGGAATGCCCGAGAGTTCCAGGAGCTGAGCGAAGCGGATTGCCGGCTCTCCGCCCAGCTTCCTCCCCTCCTCCTCAGTGCCTTGGCGCAGGCACATCAGGACCAACCGCTCCCCGTCAGTCTCGGGGAGAAGGACTCATCCGCCAACGTGTCCCATAGGAGCCTTGGAATGCGGTCCCAAAGACGCGTGTAAGGCGGGCGCATAAGAAACTTGGTAGATACCCTAGCCACGATGAAAAAGGGGGGGGTTCGAGCCTCCTATCGAACCGCCGGGACCCAACCGCGGCACAATGCATGCATGCTCCAATCTTGCAGCTTGCAGAGCGCAGATGGAGCAGGCAGGCCACACGCATCCCGACAAGCCCCCACCAAAGTCCCGAGTTTTAACCGGGAAAGGGGGGGAGCGCGACCCAAAATCAACCCCCCAGAAACCCCCCAAAAGCACGGAGGGGGAGACCGACCAGGCGGGGGATTCCCCAGAAACCCCAAGTGGACCTCAAAGAAACCAAGAGTCGGCCGCAGCCCGTCCTTGGGGCAGCCAATGCATGTGGCCTCATGGTCGAGGAGATCAAACTGCCGTGACGTGGCTCCAATGCCATGCAACCAGAAGAACCCACGTGCGCAACCAGAATGGAATAAGAGAGGAAAACAGTGGTGAAAACCGATCCCAATAAGGAAAACCCATTTCCCCCTCCCCCTCCGGAGACGGGGCCAAAGGCACCCAAGTCCCGGGAGGAAGAAACCACACGACTCCCACATCCGGCAGGGTTGTGAGACAAAACCTAGCGGCTCCCTCCCTTCAGGATTGCCTCCTTCGCCACCGAGTGGATTGCCGCCAGCCCCGACTTTTCCGGGTTGCTCAGGATGACCGACCACAAGGCCGTGGAGACATCCGCCAGGCCGTTCGAGGAGCTGAAGCGCATGCGGGGGGTGCTCGCGTCACCCAGGACTAGCCGCTCATCCCTGGGACGCTCCGTTGGCTCCACCCTCTTGTAGAACTCCATCCGATCGCGGATCCACTGATTGTACAGCTGCTCCGGGGGCTCGTCCATCACCAGCTGCAAGCAGGTGGCCTTATCCTTGTGCCACCCCGTGATCTGGAGCAGCCTGGTCCCCCCGCGGCTCGCCTTCCAGAAGCCCTTGCAAAATCTGCACATATAGCCCCCCGTGGTCTTGAACTTCTCCTTGCTCACCACTTCCCAGGCACTGATGCTTGGCAAGACCAAGCCACACTCCACGGAGACCCAAAACACATGCTTCGCCTCCTTGGGGAAGTGCTTGTTGATGTACTTTCGGCCCGCAACCGCCGTGACCGTGGCCGTGGTGATGGGCGGGTACCGCCTGGTGCCCCAACGGCACCCAAGGGGGGGGAGCAACCTACAAGGCCCCCGCCGCCTCCTGCGGGACCTGCTCGACCCAGTCGTGGACCACATTGCAGCGCCAATTGACCTTCACCTCCACCATCGATGACTTACTCAGGCCCGCCACCAACTTGGTGTAGACCGAGTCGAAGGCCTTCAGCGAGGCCAGCGCAAGGGTGATCCGTTCGTCGCAAACTGCCCTGAACCGCAGCGCCTCCTTGCTGTCATGGATGGGGGCCACCGGCATCTCCATCACGGGCAACGGGCAGTTAACGATGAAATTCTTTGCCGCCAGGAATGTGCCCATCTCCTTGAAGATGTAACTCCACTCCTCCTTGCTGCGCGGCTTGGGGATGCCCAGGCTCTCCAGGAAGGGCGCCGCCTCCTTCCTCATCTGGATGATGTTGCCCATCCACTTGTCCGAGGTCGAGCCCTCCGCATTGCGGCCCCTGCGTTTCGTCTTCACAATCAACGGGAAGGTGGTCCAGGCCGAGTAGATACACTTAAACGTGAACCTGTGGGCGTACACTCCCGTCAGGCTCGGCAGGTCCCACGTTCTCGTCTGTCTGGTCCAAAACACCCCATCACCCTTCGCCCAGAAGATACCAACCACCTGCTCCGGTGCCGGGCGCTCGCCCCGGTTCACCTTGTGCCGCCGCCTGGCCAAGGCCTCCTCCAGAGTCGGTTCCCGATGCTTGCGCAAGGCCTTATGCAGCTCCTCCTTCTTCCTGATCGCCTGGTCCACCTGGGGATGGTAGAGCTCGAAGCTCTGGGCCTCCGCCTCCTTCAGGGACCGCTGCACTTTGACCTTGATCTCCTGGCTTTCCCGGACCTTCAACACCTCGTCGTCCGCCTCCATGGACAGGATCTCCTGCCGGATGTCCACCCGCCTGTTAAGCGGGACCGCATCTGCCATGGTGATCTCATCTGCCGAGTCCGTTTTTGGAGGGGCTCTCCCCAAGACCGTGCCGTCCACCAAGTTGCGGTCGGCCTGTGTCAGGGTACCACCGGGGCCAACGGCACCCAGGCTTCCCCATTCCCGCTGCTGGATCCAGGTCGGCTTGCCCTCCACGATGAGCAGGTTGTAGGTGATGCCGTCCGCCTCATAGGTGCCTGGAAGGGGGCGAACTCCTTGCCGGGGCAGACCCAGCACTGCTTGGCTGCCTCTGGCCACCCCGTTCCGCATGCCTTGCACATGAACTTGTAGTCGGAACGACCTGCGTCGAGCCTGTGCATGCGCTGGGTGCCGATACATGCCTTGTTCCTCTGGAACTGCGAAGCCCAGACCTCCTCCTGGCGGAGCTGGATCTTCATCGGGACGTACGCCTCCAGGATGCGGATCACCAGGTCCTCCGTGAGGTTCCGTGATGTCTCTCAGCAAGGCGGCCGCCGACGCTGGAAGGACTGGAAACAGGTCCGGGAGGTCCACCAGCTTGAAGTACCCGGGTTTTCCGTCCACCGGCACCAAGGAGACAGGTTTGTTGGCCTGAGACGTAGCCTTCTGAGAAGCCGCCACAAAGCCCAACAGGCACCACGTGGGTGGCGTCTGCGCCTCCTCCGGTGGTGTGGCCTGCTCCGTGCTGTCCGCATCCCCCATGTCATTGTCGCCCGCCTCGGCGGGGCCAGGGGCACCCAAGCCGGGAGTCGGTGTGGCAAATGCCACTCGGAGACGCTCCAGCGCACTGGAGAGGTCCTTCATCACATCGGTCGTCGAAGCTGACGGGGGGGCCTCGGGCTCGTCCAAAACCAAGCCGGCCGCCACTGCCGCCTCCCGTGTCCGAATGTCCTGGGCCTCCTGGCTGGCCATTTCCACCTCCTCCACGGTGAGTGTCTGGTCCTCAATCAACTCAAAGGAAGTGGCCGAGGTTGCCGAGGAAGCCATTGCTTAGTCGGGGTTAAGTTCGAAGATGCCAAAGATCAAAGTTTTTCAATCAGCTTGGGTTCCAGGAACCCAGAACAATGCTTGAGCCAAAATGGCACATGCCATTGTGGTCAAGCATTCCACACACAGTTCATGTTTCCACATGCGTTTCAACATTAACAAATTGACTGTATGGCCCTCCCTGTGATGGTCATGACATATTACATGAATATGCCCATTGAATCTACAATAGCTGCTGCAGGTGCAGCAAAAGCATCAGTGTGTCTCCACTACTGGATCTCCCGCGTGTCCTTGCATCCGCTCGCATATGCCAACAAGGGTCAAACTAGAGGCCTTATGCCTTCTCCCATTGGGACTGTTCCTGGGGAGCCAATGACACGTTCTGCACGCAACCGCATGCCAACTCCACGCATCCGATCGATCAAATTTCATCTGAATCGCGCGCAGCCACCGATGGCTGCCGACTCCACGGAGGACACGCCCCGGAACCCGAAGTCGTGCAGCTTGAAGGCTGGGCGGCCCCAGTCGAAACGGTCCCTTTCCGTGACAGGTGCCATGGCAGCAACACGAGATGCCAAGGTTCCCATACAAACGCTTGATAAATGTTGATAACTTATCTTCGACATGGACGCCGTGGAAAAGCAAATAAATTTGTGAAGCACCATGGCCAATCTCGCGAAGAACCAGTGCCGGCTGGAAAGAGCTTACGGGCAAAGAGCTGAACACGTGGAGGTGTAGCCCCCTTCCATGACCGGAACTCTTCCAAAACGCTTCCAAAAGAGCTAATGCTTCTAAGGCAGGATGCGGGTGGGGACACGACCTTTAGGCTGGCGATGCTGAGTGTGTGATAGCATGAAGGAAAACGAGATATTGATGATGGCGGCGATGCTGGCTTCATCATCTGCTTTGTAGCAGTGGAAGCTGATCCTGGACCTGGTTTTGATTCGGTTGAGTACAAGCACCTAAATCAACTTGCGTTTGTTCCTCCTTTGCAAGCATGCACCCGAGTTTGCCATCGGAATCCCACCCTTGAACTGATGCACAAACCTCAGCCGGGCGGCATGTGCCGGCAGGTACGGCCCAGTCCTCATTGCCAGTCTCCTGCGCAAAGGGTGAGAGCAGAGAGCTTGGCTTGCGTGTGGCTCCTCGGTTTACCTTTCCTGAAAGGGTCACCACCAATTCAACATATTAGAACACTGAACGGAGGCCACGAGGCAAGTATGGTTCAAGCCAGTACCTCGTGTTGTGCCAAAGAGAATGAGGGTTCCCGTTGCTTGGAAGGGAATCAGCCGGCTCAAACATCGTTCCTTCGAAACCCTCACATCGGCGTCATCAACTCAGGTATTGAATTCTGAGGAGATCTGCTGTTGGCCTCAGCGCAGACAGCTCGTTTGAACAGGCCCAAGGTCGACCTTCCCCCAGCCCTCAGCCTCCATGTACTTGGCGATCGACATCCTCAACTTCAGCGTGTACATGTGGCTCGAAACAAGCCTAGATCTAGGCAAGGCACTTCTGGAATCTGCTCTGGGTGGCGACTGTCATGGGATACCACACCTCACACGCCCGAACAGTGAGACCTTGCACTCACACGCCCGAACAGTGTCCTTTCGACAGGTGTGAACAGTCTGGGGCAAAAGCAAAAGGGCCGCACCGGCTCAAGCACCATGGCCAATGTTTAAAGTTCGTGAACGTTTTGGCACCTGGACCAACAGCGTCTCCAGGAAGTTGGTCAGCCAGAAGCACTTCGGATCCTCAGCGACGAGAAACACGCGAGGGTGTGCGTTTCTGCCGCCTTCACCGTGTTACCTCAGTTGGGCTACTCTGCAATGGGCAAGCCATTTCTACGCAGCCCATCAAACTATGTAAAGCTAACAATCTCTCAGATGTAATGACAGAACCGCAACAACCAACGAACATACGCATGCCGCAGATCCGATCTTTCAGATCCCTTCCCCATAGTGACGCTATCATGCGCGAAGAGCTTCCGTGTTGACCAGCGTGAAGAGCACAGTCTTCGTGGGCACGATCATCCCTGCCAGTTTAGGCGTTGTCACAATAGGCAATCTAGAGAATGGCTTAGAGAAAAGTGGCCATTGGTCGTTGCGCGCGACACATCGAACAAGTCCAAGTGCACTCGATCCAAACGCAAACTACTGCTCTTGTATCCCCCATTCAATATGTAATTCCTGATCGCAGGCTAGCACACAAATCCCTGCTGTCAGACTCAACCACCGATCCACAGGGTGGGATGCAATTACCAACGAATTGCAGACGCATCCCTAGTTGCTCTTTTGCTGCTGTGGAAAGCTCAACAGAGCTGACCTTTTGCATGGTCACACAGGGGCAAGCCCTCAATGCCTCGCCTTCGGGCACGGCCCGGATGTGCACAGGCAACCTGCCGACGGCTCGAGTTGAAATAAGTATCCGGACCCGTCCGGTCAGTGTGTCAGCCATGTGGTCTCGAGGACGGGCATAGCAAAGCTTTGCAAACAAACAGAGAGACAGTGTCAAAATGACCAACACAGTTTGAAGTTTGTGTACTCATCATTGCATGAGCTTGAGGACTCCCTCACAACGAAGAAAGCAATCCGAGCATGCCAATGCCAAAAGGCAAGCAGCCATAAGACCAGCCAGCAAATTTACTCCGCCCTGCAGTGTGCTGAAGAAAAAAGACTTGCCTGCCGCTATGTTCTTTCAGGATGTACTCCCAGCCCTCGCGGTAGAACCTTCAGGCATGCGCATGTGGTTTGACACACGGCTGAGTGCCCAGAGATCGGACCTGCTGAACCTAACATAGCTCGCTTCTTCAAACCTCCCAGCAGACTGACCCATTCACATGAAGTGTCGCCTCGAGTGGACCCAAGATGCGGCGAGCAAGCCATGAGAGCTGATCACGGGACCGGGGAAGTGTCAGAGGAGGCAAAGAGTCGTCCTTGAGAAGGGATCCACCTAGCCATGCCCCCGAATCTAGGAACCAGTGTAGGTCTTCAAAATCGCGCAATGAATAATGGCTTCACTTGGATACATGCCGTATCAAAATAACAAATTTCCAGGTTGAAGCTGGCTGCTGACCCCTGACCACCACACGTGACACGTGGCAAATGCTTTCCTCGTAATTGGACTCGGTCAAAAAACCTCGTGCAAATCTGCAACGCTTGCAGCCAAGCAGCATGCTTGGATTGTCATTCACCTGGCTGGGAGAATCGTGCTTCCAAGGCACAAAATGACAACACCATGCCAACCGTATTGGCAACTCTCCTCCGGTGCACCAACAAACTAGTCAAGAACACGATGGCCGGCCTAGGAATTGGGTGCTGGGTTGGTGGGTGCAGATGGCTGTGCAAGAATGCTGGCTGACAGTGCCACCAGATCCTTTTTGCAGTGAATCGTGCAGGTGGGCCCGCCCTCCGCCACCAGATTAACAATTATCCGTGAACTGCTGCCATGCCCAGCTCTTGCACAGCAAACTGGCAGCCAAGATCTCGCTTCACTACAGGGTTGTCACTGTTGGCTCTGCTAAGATTGATTCTGCCAAAGTGCTCCATCGCCAAAATGCTGCGAGTAGATCTCTGCGGCTTCATCAATCTTCTCCTGGGCAAAGGAGCCTGCTGCTGAGACCCGAACGGAACCAAAGCGGCGACGCGCCTCACCTCTCACTGACACAATGCTGGCCCGAACACTGAAAAACACATGGTGAGGTATGTCAAGTCTCGTGTTGCCATGGCGACCCAAGTGCGAATGGAGCATTGTCAAGAAGCTGCATGCTGTTCCATGGCCAGACTGTGCCATGTCTTGCAGGCATATCATTGCACTATCCCTGAAATATGTTGTTCATGAAATGAGGTGCAATGTGAAATGTCAAATGAGTTGATCGCGCTATCAGTACAGGACTAGCTTTGCAGTCTGCAGTCTTACAAGCTGCATAGCTGGTGGGCGCAATTTTGGCCGAGGGTTGCACGATTGCACGCAACATGTTAAAATACTAAGGCTTAGCGACAAGTGTGTTGGGATGCTGCGCGCGCTGTGTTGCTAGAATGCATAGTTTGATTCAAATGGCATTCAGCAAACAGCTTACAGAAGTGTGCCTTCAACAAATGTCGGTTTGCGGGCAGAATGCCCAAGCAGGCGCGGGTACGCTGGTATGCGCTTCGCACCTAGCCTCCCACCAACCTATTAGAAATCGGATCAAGGGTCCTTCGAAAAGACAGCATACCTGTATATACATGCATGGTTGCATGGTCGGGTGTTTCCACGTCGTTCTCCAACCCTGCACTCGTTAGGATTCCTTGACCTCGTTGTCCGACGCCGCATGTGTGCTCGTGATCTTAACCACCTATGTGTCATGACCCTACCTCGTTGCGGGGGTGTTCCTACCTCGTTTTGCATCTGATGCAGTATGTTACCTAGCAAAGGTTCCGTCCGCCCGCTACAGCAGTCTTCTGTAGATAAAGGCATATGGCCATGGGTCAAAAGCCCGTACCCTCAGTGAACATCCCAATCCCAACTAAAATAGACTAAAATGGGTGGTGCACCTACCCCAAAATGGTACCATTGGTTTTGACCCAAAGCCATATAATACTGATGTACGTATCCTGGCTGGCCGTTGTCTAACCTATTGATAGCCTGTTTGGGTGTCGGAAGTATGATGCTTGCTCCTGGCAGGGAATTCGTGACTCTCCATCAACAACAAGGATCATGGCAGGGGAGGGTTTGACGGTTTATCATTTGATGCATATTCTTTGCCAGCCCCTACCGCAAATCATCTTGCTGGCATCGTTGAGCGCAAAGCAACTCAATCTGAAGCTCGTGTCATTTAAAGAGCAGCATAGAATAGCGCTGTCTGAGAGCGAGTCCCTTTCCACAACAGGACACATCATGACTCAGGGAAAAAGGGCGAAGTCAACGAACCTCTCCAAGAAAAGGGCAAGAGGTTTGTGACCGGTCTGCCCTTGAATCATTGCAAAGAAATCTTCCGAAACCATTGCGTCAGCTTTCGTATTAGAGCGATTTCACTGAACTCGGCAGAATTGCAATGCGAAGCAGCTCAACCTCGTTGAGACCGGTACGAGGTTGCAAGCTTTGCCTGCAAGGTCCGTTGCCCTCCCGCTCCTTGGTCACCACCTGGCCCAAGAGGTAGCGCTTCACAAAGTACCTAGGCAATGGCCAAGGTGTCCATGGCTGCATGACATTAGAAAACGCAAACGGCTTCTGAATGTGCCCAAAAATGGTCCGCTGCCAAACCTCCTTGTGTTGTACAGTACTAGACGACTCTACACGCTTTTCCCGCGACTCGCGCCGCGGCCACGCGGCTGGAGGCCGAAGAAGACCACCTCGTTCCATCCCGCGTTGTCACAGCCGCGGCTCTCAAAATAGCCTTGCATGTGGGTAGGACCCAAAAAAACAGGCCATATTAACACCCCGCAAAGTAGTTAGTCCAGCCTCTGACGGATTCAATTGGCTGGTGTCCCGTTTTTGGCGGGGATGGTTCACTTGTATGGTGAGTGTCAGGCGTGCTCGGCGTTCCAAAGAGCAAGTGCCCGTTCCCTGCAGACAAAGCCACTGCGAGCAACTGGGCCGCAAGTCACGAGGTGTCATGCTACCTTGTTTCTGGGTATCTTCCTTGGTAGAAAGGTTTTGAATGCTCTTAAATGATGTCAGTTCGTTTTGACTGTCACCCTTGGATGTCAAAAATACAATCTCACACAAGTCGAGTGGCTGTAGACATACTGCGTTCCTGGAGGGTACTGCTTCCAGTGACTGACTTTGTAGCTGTCCTGGGCGAGCAAAAACATGTTTTGCATTGACAGCGGAAGTGCGCACGCACAGGCACACAGCAGGCACATCTCTGCTAAGGTTCTGAAAGCAGAATGATGTTCCTTAGCTGCGCAGTCATCAGCAACCAAGCAGCAGCCCATGCTACCCTCTTCACATTTCAAGCATCAAGCATGCTCTGTCACCCAGCACGAAATGCCGAGCGGCTCTGTCCATGGAATGCACTCCATCGCTGTTACAAACCTCAACACCCATAAGTGACACGTCATGAGCTCTCAAGTCAACGAAACTGCTCCTGGAAATGAAACTTAGCCCAATGACCCAGATCCTGAGCGCACCCGGGCCTGAACCCAGCTTGGGTGCATTCCTTTGCCCCCGAAATCTCTGTCACAGAATCAAAGACACATGTATGCTTCGACTCAAAGGAGTCGGCGCAAAACCGCTCAGCTCACGCTTGCTCCGAGCGGCTCTGATGGGGGCAGTTCCCTTCAGGCAAAAGCTCAGGCTGAGCCGTAAAAGAGTCTGCGGCTGCAAAGCGTTGAGCATCAGGCGGGTACATCATGTGCGAAATTGGAAACACCTTGGAATGATTGGTTCCCTGTTGAAAGCGTCCCAGAAGGATCCCTCGTTTTGACTTTGGTAGGCCAATGCTTTTGTCCTGGGAAACAAGGAAACCAAGCTTTGGTGGGGAAGCGACTGGAACGCGAAGGAAAAGGGCTTGAGCTGGACGAAGTCCCGGGCAAGTCTCAATGCTACGTAGTAGGTACTGCAAGGACGTATCTCAGTCGGCATCTCACTCGTGTTTGAAAGGATGATCACGCCACCAACCACAAGCTCCTCCACTGTGTAGTGCTCCCCTTCTGAAAAAATAGTATGCAAGCAAGGAGAGACGATAGCGAAGTGCTCAGCAATAGAGACCTCCCGGTAAGCTTGAAAAAAAACTGGTGACTGTAGCACTGGGTGGCGTCACCAATCACTCAGCATCTGCCCCGCAGTCTCAAGCACCAACTTCCCCGAAGTGCAGACAGCAGACGGACCAGGTTTGTCTTTTGCTAATCAAGGCTAGAAGTGCAGCGGGCCATTCCCCACATGCCCAAACAATCGCAGGATTGGGAGCGATAAGCTCACTGTCGGGGGAAAGCAAACTGCTGGAGGTTTGCCTTCATCCACCCAATCCGGGCTTCCCGCGGTCAAGCGAACAGGAAGCAGCTCTAAAGGGAGACTGCATTTAGACAAATTTGGGTGTCGAGAATCAGTAACTTCCTTCTTTTGCTTTCAGAGGCACATCATAAAAGGAAAGCACGCAGCAGGGGCATCCCGGCTGTTGAACGTACCTATTTCTCTGTCAACCCCTGGATTCTCCTTGGGCTGGACATGTCACCCATCAACTTATTGCAGTCTCCGGCAATGCCAAAAGGGTTTGCATTGCGTTCGCACAGAAAGTGCCTGAGAGGGCAATGCAGCTATGGTTGAACTTCTGAGATATGTGCAGATTCAAAGCTCACATCCAATATGCGCAACATCTGGTGGTGTGCGTCTCTTGGCGCGAGCATGTTCTTCACATTCTTCTCATGAGATTTAAGCCTGTGCTGGTTGGTCTCTGAATGCAGCCGTTCCCTCTGCTAGTTTGAATGGGGATCTTCCGCAGGTGCTTCCTTGGCAGGTGCTCCGAGCATCTGGTGGCAGGTGTTCTACGGGGGGAAGCTACTGAGCGCTGTCCGGGGGTTGGGGGGGCGGGAGAAGCCATGCAAAAGGCACGCCACAAAAACATGAATAGGACCGAAAACAAAAACACGGTAATTCTACCAGTTTGTTCTGAAGCTCGGCTAGTCGCTGAAATCGTAGTTGTTCTAAACGTAGCCGCTCTGTGCAAAGTGACAGCGTCATGACAATGATTCGCATGGACCATTAGACGCTTTGCTGACATCTCTTCATTAGTGAAGTGTCCACCCTTTGATTTACCTCTTGGGTGAGTAGTGCAGTAGCGCAGCCCAACGCCAACAGAAACACGCTTTCTGTTGGTGATGTCATCAGAGAGTTCACCGAATCTGACAGTCTAGCAACACGGTCTGGCAGAGTTTCGTAAACAGCATCAAACCGTCTTGACAGCCATAACCAGCACTGCTCCTCTCCTTTCGTTGACATACACCCCATCGCTCGGTCACTCTCTACCGAGCAAATGAGGGCGATTCCGGAAGAGACTTCGCCAGGACGAGAACCATCTTCAAAAGGATGTGCTGCAGCTATACAAGGTTGAGCTCGCGTCTGTCAAAGTTGTCGGGGCTTGATGTGCGTCTGACGCACATGTGCTCATAGTTTGCATTGCCTTTTGAAAGGGCATAACAAACAATCACCTGTCAATAACCACTTCAATTTGGCGAACAGTAGTATAATATAATACAATGGTTTGGTTTGCTGCGCAGAGCTGACAGCTAGAGAGCACCTTGTAAGGGGCTAATCAAAGAATCTGGATCCTCGCCCCAGCTCAAATCGAGAGGGTGTCTGGCAACGCGGCCATCGCTGGTAGGTCCCATTCATTCGTCTCATTCTCCACAGTGGTGGACCCACCCACGGCAACTACCAGTTTCCACCCAGCAAGCGCAGGCTGCTCAGGGTCCTCCAGCTGCAATGGAAAAGGAGTTCACAAAAAGCCGAGGCGTCGGAACTAGAGACCCGTCCGATGTGTGAATCAGTGAACAAGGCACAAAACAACTAACCATTTGAATAGTTGTTCACGCCTGCACATGTATTGATTGGCACAAATCCCCGAAACAAGCTTCCTCCTTCCCGAGAAACGTATTTCTTCTTCCTATATCAGGAAGCAAACAATTCCGCGTCAAGAAGATGCAATTCGGCTTGACTCTTGACAAATCCTTGTGTGTTCATCAACACTTGCCTAAGCATCTAAATCCACGGGTGGAATCCTCGGCCTTCCTCCTCTTGGATCTGTGAACTCTGGGTTGGGGGGTCGGCAACCCATCCTCTAGCTTGAAGTTCAGCTTCAATGAACCGGAGCCATTCCCGATGGAGATTGTGACTTCACATATGAGTCGCAGTAAGCAGCGTTCTGGGTTGGTCATCTTGGCCAACTTGGTCGGCGGAAAAATCAAAACTGGACTGCAGCAATTTGGCAATTTCACCCGCTTCTGGTATCAACCACTGTATTGCTTGGCAAACGTTGGCTCACATGCACTCCGATGCATGCCAGAAGAGTCCCTACGTGTGCAGCACTCCGTCGCCCAAGCCCCTGTGAAAGTAGGGAACGGGGTGGTCCTGGAATCCATCATATTTCTTGCTTTCTTGCCATCTTGTCCTTGCCACGTGTTGCAGCATCAGAATTGCAGAATCCACCACAAAACCCTCTCCGCATCAAGCATCGTATACCTCTCTGGGACTCTACTTGCCGCATGATGGATTAAGTTTGACCAAAGGCCAAACCTCCTGGGCTATGAGGTCACGGCAACCAGATTACCCCTTTCACTTGTAAGGATGGCGGCCTAACTGTACTCCCCCCAACATAGCATTTTTGGGGGGGAAGGGATGTCAGGCTAATTAGCCACATCCAAAGCCTACATGCATGACGGTCAGCGGGTCTGTAAGTCACTGGTCGTGGCTTCATGATTGGACACCGCTCACTCTATTGGCCCAAATATGCACGGGATTATGTATCGTTTCAATCCTCCAGCATTGACACGTGGCGGAAGCTACATGACCCTATCCAATGCAGTGACTATCTGATCTAATAGCATGTGTTTGGTCCTGTTTAGCAAGACGGATCAAAGCAAAGGTTTGCTGTCCTTAGGATGGTCTCAGGAAGAAATACACTGAGGACACACACTTCCTTTTTCCATGCCTTTACATTACGTGGTCATGGCTCGTATGGAACTTGTTCTCAGAGCTTGAACAGCAGCTTCAGTGCGAATTGACTTTCTGATCTCCCGCTAGGTGGCACTTGGCAGGCACCCTGAGCCCCCTTGCCTCGCTGGCCCCTGTCCGAGGCGCCAAAATCGCCTCAGCTTAAGTCTACTGACACCTGCAAGATGCAAGGGCCACTGTCAAGCGGAGGAACAGAGTTCCTTGGGGTTCCTTGCATGTGCCCGAAACCACTCACTGAAAATCGACCCAACAGCGATGGCTGGGAACACCCGGATGGTCAAGTACCCCAGGACCCCATGAAGTCCAACGGGCAGCTGTCGCAGGGATCCCTCAGAATGATGCGCCACCCGGCTTCTAGTTGCCATTCACCAGCCTGCAGGTCCTCACAAGCAACACCCTTACACCTCTAGAAAGACCGCGAACTGCCCAACCCTGTCACGCTTTTGCACATCTAGCAAAAGCAGGTCAGTAGAATTAGAAAGATTCATGAGTATTGATACTAATGCGGTGTCAGGACAGGGGGTCAAAGCCCCTCTTCAAACTAGGCAGGAAGCTGAATGAAGCACGCATTGTTCAACAGTGCCGAGATTTGCTCGCAGTGTATCACCTTTGGCGCATAGCGAAATCTGCCGTCACTGCAAAGGACTAAAGCCTGCACCCAAGACTGGGAAGCCCGACCAAACTGAACGTATTGACAGGTCAATGAGAGCCATGGTCAAAGTGACGGTCAAAGCCCGTGGTGGGGTTGTAATGGTCCCTGTAAGGGAGCCCTGATGGCTGTACAAACTCCCACTCCAACATGATGTTGGTCGTCAGCGAATGATGCAAATCACTTTGCCAGGTGGCGCCAGTGTTGGAATTCCACCCTGCATGCGGCACAGATCATACACTTTGCCAAAGAAAAACGGAAACAAACAAATATCACTTTTGCTAGGTGGCGGCGTTGCGCTTTCCTTAGCAACGCCTAGGAAGCACCCATCACTCATACCGGTTCTGCCTCAATTCAAATAAACATTTGTTGCGCGTAAAATGGCAGCAAGATGGCTTCGCATAGCTGTTGGACAGCGTGCAAACCCAAATTCACACCGAGTGCGGTCGATACACGACACGAACTTCATCGCCGAGTGTCTGCCGGAGACACTCGGATTACGCACTTCACAGAATGGAGTGGCTGGACAAAGAGCACCACTCGTAAGGCAGACTGAACAAGCTAAGTTCTTGCCGCTTCAGGCGTCTGAACTCAGGATTCAGTCGACTTCTGAGGGCGGATGCAACAAAGGCGAATGCAACAAAGGCGAAGCTACCCTCGAAAAAAGAGTCATGGCTGCGACCGTAAGATGGGCAAAAAGGGGAGCAAGCAAACATCATGGCGCAGCTCCAGTTTTTTGACCATATTCGTTCAGGGATTCCTCTCCTCGAGATGGCCCAGCACCTGAAACGAACCGAAGGAGGTTGAACGGCATCTACCCCGGGCGTGATGCGGGGTGCATTCAAACGATTTCTACCTCTGGAAAACTCCCTTTGATCATTGGAAAATAGGTTGAATGGGGCCAGTGCCTGGCTCTCTGCTTTGATCCCCAACCGCTTACCTTTCCGTTCAGTGCATCTACGCATGTTTTGACCGTTGCTCCCAGCATTCGAGAGCTGTTTCGAACATTGTCTACAAGCGCAAGGAGAAGGGGACCGTCAGCGTATGCTACCTTTGACGGACAAAGCAATGAGGGATATTTCATTGGCCCTTCATGTGCTAACACAAATGTATCAAGGGTGCTGCTTGGCCGGCATGGTTGCCGTGCAGCAAATCCGTCATCGCACTCTCATTTGCAACAAGAAAGACCAAGAAAAAACAAGTAGCAACAGTGCGGCTAACGTGAAACATAGATTGGCAGTTTGGCAGGGTGTATCCAGAGTATATGTACACCTACACAACACATACACACGTCTACATAGGTTTGGTTTTGTTTAACGCACATACAAAAATATATATATATATACAAGTCCTAAATGAAAGTTGCGGATACTTAGCTCGAATGACATACATGTACATATATATATATATATACTCACGTATAATTTCCCACATATTTGTACGGCATCGGATGTTGAATGTCCTAGGAGCGGCGACACCGGATCCAACCCTTCGCTCCGCTGCGCCTGCGTTGCTTTCGCTCGCAAGGCGCTGCCTCCGCAGCCCGAGCCTCGGTGCTATGGACTTGGGGCTATCGGCCGTTGAGTCAACACACGTTTGATGCAAAACGTGATGGAGCATTCCCAGATTAATGAACCGGTATGGATGAACTTATGATAGTTGTTCTTCTGCATGTCTCTCGCATTAAACTGCATTTGCCTCAGCTATGTACGTTTGCTTCAAAGTTGGTTCCAGCACTGTGATTTCTGACACATGTCTTACGATGGGCATTCTCACCTGGTACCTTCACTTGAGTTGGTGGCTTGGCAATTCCGATTGCTGTCGGGATTGGGAGTCTATTTGAACAGAGAGGCTGCTTTCTAAAACACCAAAAAATGAAATGGCACCAACGGAAGGTAGCCAAGGGTTGCCAGTTTGTGGCAGCTGATGGCCCAAATAGAGCCCTTTGACCAGAGCCAACAAAATGTTTCGGAGATGCTGTTATGTTATGCATCCTTCGGCTCGGTGCATGTTAAGACCCCCTTACTTGTCAAAACTGAAGCCCTCTGGCAAAAAAGGCGAAGAAGCGAAGATGACCAAGTGCATGCCCATGCACACACACACACACCCACGCACGCACGCACGCACGCACTCACGCACACACACACACACACCCACGCACGCACGCACGCACGCGCGCTCGCACGCACGCACGCACGCACGCACTCACGCACGCGCTATCGCAGGCACGCGCTTTCGCAGGCACGCAGACACAAACACAGAGACACGGAGACAAGGAAGCAGAGACAGAGAGACCGAGACGCAGAGACACAGAGACACAGAGACACAACAATACACACAGATACACACAAACACACACACACACACAAACACACACACACACACACACATCCGCACGCACACGCACACGCACACGCACACGCACACGCACACGCACACGGACACCCGCGCCCGCGTGCTCTTTTGATACAGCACTTATGCCCGCAGGCGAATTCCTTTCTCTTACAGAACACACCGTTCTGTGGGTGTAGCAATAACGAACAAAGACAAGGCGGGATGGAAACTAGGATGCATGGAGTACCGCCTGTGTGTGTGTGTGCGTGTGCATGTGCGTGTGCATGTGCGTGTGTTTATTTTATTCATTGTTTGCTGGTTTTTTGGTTATGTAAGCGTGTGTGCGTGTGTTGATTTGTGTGTGTGTGCGTCTTCGTGTGCGTGTGTGCGAGCTGTGTGTGTGTGATGTGTTGTGTCGTGTTGTGTCGTGTCGTGTTGCGTTGCGTTGCGTTGCGTTGTGTGTTGTTTGTGCGTGTGTGGTTGTTTGTGCGTGTGTGGTTGTTTGTGTGTGTGGTTGTTTGTGTGTGTGGTTGTTTGTGTGTGTGTGTGTGTGTGTGTGTGTGTGTGTGTGTGTGTGTGTGTGTGTGTGTGTGTGTGTGTGTGTGTGTGTGTGTGTGTGTGTGTGTGTGTGTGTGTGTGTGTGTGTGTGTGTGTGTGTGTGTGTGTGTGTGTGTGTGTGTGTGTGTGTGTGTGTGTGTGTGTGTGTGTGTGTGTGTGTGTGTGTGTGTGTGTGTGTGTGTGTGTGTGTGTGTGTGTGTGTGTGTGTGTGTGTGTGTGTGTGTGTGTGTGTGTGTGTGCGTGCGTGCGTGCGTGCGTGCGTGCGTGCGTGCGACTCTTGTGTGCGTGTGCCGTGTGTTTGGTCGTGGCCGAGAGAGTATGCGTGCACGTTTGGATACCAAGGTTGCTTGTTTTGGCCGGCCTTCGCTAGCTCATCACTAACTGTCATGCATTCGTCCAAAAGGGGTCACAACAGAATTTCACATGTCCAGCTGGTGACATAATGTCGCAGGCTGAAACGCCCTGGAAAAAAAGACGTCTTCTAGGCGAAGCTGCGCTCATGCTCAACCCTCATCGCGAGAGCACACTCGCCACTGGAAGCAGGTGTACACTCGATCCCGCACCCAGCGCAAAGAGTGCATGTTGGGTATTTCACAATGGCAATTATCGATGCCCTGCTTCTATGTGGGGTGCAAAGCAGTGGCAGCTACTGAACCTTCACAAGATATTCCGCCCCTTGCCGGCTGTTCATCCATTTGAAGTTGCAGTTGTGCATCAGGCTCATCATGTTTAGACCTGTGATGCCTTCTGGGTTATGTCCAAGATTGTCAAACCTGTGTATTGAGGATGCTTTGGATGTGTGGCACTCCATCAGCAAAGCAGGGCTCTGCCCTCGGGATCATGTTTGGGTTATGTTGGGTTCGTCTTTCAGCAGTGTCCACCCGTGCAGACAAAACGCCGTGGCTGCGACAGTGGCTTCGGAGATCTCAAAATTGGATGCCTGAAGGCAGGCCAAGCGTGTATTCCTCTCTGGCAAAAGTGTAGGGATGAGGAAATGAGAACCTGTGTAGAATATCCCAGCCATCTCCGTGATTTGAAGCCCCCCAGGTTGGGGTGGCACCTGTTCGCTTCGTTTGCTTTGGGTGCCTCAAACGTGTGCAGCAGGGACGGAGGTGCAAACCTTGGAGAAACATTGGAGAAACCGTCCTTGCCTGCCGGTACGTGTGCCTGTGCACAATGTGGGGGGAAGGGGTGGGTGGGTAGGACATCTTAACTTCGCCAAAATCATGTGGTTCGCTTGCACTGACAAGTGCCGTGTCCCGTGAGCTCTTTTGCAATCCGTATGCTGAAGGCCTGTGCCCGCCCAACCGCGCACGCACCCAGACCCCCAAGCCACCAAAGTGAGCCCAACCAGCCGCCGGCTGGCGCCTGCAAGCGCTTCACCAGCGGCAGGCCCAAACGCAGCGCCTCCCCGCGACGGCAGAGGGTGGCCAAAAGGTCCTGGCAAGCGGGGAAAAGTCTCTGCCGAAATTGCAAACCCCAACAATGTGTATTCTGCAAACAACATCAAGGCATCCGACATATGGGGGGCCCCCTGAAAATCAGAGTCCTGAACAATCTAGGCAACAACTAAAGCTTGATGGTTTGAAACGAATACTCATGGTGTGTTGGCCACAATGTCATGATTGAAACATGGAGTACTTCAATGCCACAACAAACAAATCTGCATAGCCATGGATGGTGTCAGGGTCAATGTCACGGATGGTGTCAGCGTCTTTAGCATTGGGGAATGTCAAAACACGGTACTCTTCATCCTCTTACGGGAGGATGTTTGGGAAAAGCATCTCTAGAAACGGTTGTGCATGGTTCTGCGCTGGATTCGCGCCTGTGCAAACACCACGAGAAAAAACAAGAAACAACACATGACACATCCCATAGCCGTCAACAACAATGATCCTCCACTGCACGGGCATCGATGAAGGTGCGGCGCGCTGGCACAGCACCTCCTGCGAACAGCGCAAGAAGATCGCACTAGCCGCACAATTAGATCGCAATAACTCGTGGCATCTGGCAACTCTGCACGTTGTGTTCTTTTCTGGGATTACGCAGTTTGCAAAAGCATCACGCTGCTGTGCTATTCTAGACTCTGACTCTTCCTTGAAGTAGCAAAACTTCAAGCACGTGAACATACCCGAACATGCGATGCCCGACACATTTGCACATAGTTTTCCCTGCTAACGGCTACACCCTCTCGGAAAGCATCGCCCAATGGCAGCGGAAGAACGAGCATTACCCCTCAAAAGTAGGGGGCACGTCCAAAAGGGCCTTTCATCTCCATCGCACCTCGTCAGACATTGACAAACAACCTTTGCATGCGTCTCATGTGCCCCATGGTGGACTGTCTGGAAGATATTTACCCCCAGCATGGTGGCGCAGTAATACCTCACTTAGACTTGTCGATCACTTCCAGATACAATATGGTGACCATTAGATTCACGCTTGCTTCACATTGTTGATTCGTGTTGCTATGGGTCATTTCTGTAAGTTCAGCATAGTCCAAGGGCAGAATGTGCGGGGGGTGCGTCTTCACGGGTTCCATGACGTCTTCACGAGTTCCATGCTACTGTGGAATTCTGCACTGGTACAAGGTTCACAAGCACTCGGCAAAACCATGTCCGTATCTGTCGGGCAATGACAAATGCAGTTGGAACGAAAGGGACAATACCTCCTCGCTTGCCTGCTGTGGTCGATCCAATGGTGGTGCAGAACGATGATCGTCATTCAGGCTGCAAAGTCTCCGTGAGCGCGCAAGGTCAGCTTCGCGACCCCCCCCCCCCCCGACGCTGTCCCCGCAGAGCGAGAGCTTCGTCCACGAGGGCAACAGCCTGGTGCAAAGTCCCTGGAGTCCCCGCGAGGTCACAGGCACCAGAATCAGATTCTATCGGTGAGCAACTTGCAAAACACAACAAATGCCCTTCTGGACACGGAAACTGTGGCGCTGATGAAAACTCAGCATGCGTCACTCCCAACGCATGCGCCAGACTCTAAACAAAAGCAGGGTGTTGAAATCTGGGCTTGCTTTTTTATTGGCAAGTTGAGGCTCTAGTTGTTGTCTTGGTCTCTGTGGGGTAGATGTTCGTCTCTCCAAGGGGAGTCCTAGTGGATCCTGCCTCACATCCGGTCACGCAAAGAGGCCAGGTAAAACATCTTTGAACGGCAAGCTTAAAGCCAAATAGGTTGCTTTGTGCACGGAGCAGCGGTTCCTCTCTCAGGATTTATCGCTAAGCTTAAACTCCTCTGGGTGAGAAAGTCACTCAAAAAGGCAATGGGGTTCGCCTCCGAAACTGAGGCCGGCACTGCCAGTGACGAACTTATATCATCATGTTAGGCTTTGCACTGATCATTGGGAAGGTTCCTCTTGGCGCTCTGAGCATTGGTCAAGAGAAAGAGAGAGGCTCGGTTTATTTCATATGTCATCGCGATTCCAGCAATCCTCACAATCATATCACCGGATACCTAGAGGGTTACAATTTCAAAACACTTCGAGTGGGATGCTCACGGGGTTCTCAGGCAACGAGCAAGACATGCTCGGAACCTGAGCTACTCGAAGTGACATAGACCGTCATGGCCCCCAGCCCCAATACTTATTACTCTCTGGAACTTGGAGTGTACAAACTAAACGTGCGGGCAAGGACTGTGCTGTGCAGAATGCATAGAAATTTGAATCCAACTACCCCGTCCTGTCAGGCTAAAGGAATATTTGGGAGATCAGCGTCACCCCAGAAACGACCAATGAAATATCTTGTCAGGTACACTTGCTTTGGTCCTGCGGTCTGAAAACCACTCAACATCTCGCTTACGAAACCTGCCGCCTGCTGGTCAGCCCAACAAAGCCGAGTCCATCGACCAGATCAGGTGCAACCGACAAGGCCCGCGACATCGAAACCCTGCCTGGCTGAGATGCCCAACTGCGAAGCAGCATCTGATTAAACCTTGCAGGACGGCAATGAATGAGTCTGACCGAGACTCCCACCTGTTGGACATCAAAACACACCATCATAGCACCGAGAACGCACTCAATGACCTGCCCTCTCATGGAGGGACAGCTTCCGCGTGAAGCATCATCGGCTCCAATTCTCTCCCAGGTGGACATGTTTACCCTACCAACCCCTGCTTCAATTGGTGGGCTCCGACCCTTAGCCAAACCGGCTGGGCAGAAAATGCAGTCTGCCCCAACGTGAGGCCACCAGTCTCTTGGAAGACACCCCGTGTGTCTGCTCACATGCTGTAATTGAGGTAGGGCGCACAGCTGTCTGTTTGGGAAAGGGTCCAACCTCTTTGACTAGCATATCCTGGTCAATCCTCCCAAGGCGGTGCAAGTCTTGTTTGTCTTTCCAGCAAAGGCTGGTTGCTGGAAAATCTCCCTCGCTGGGCTATTCGGTTTGCTTCTCAAACATCTGATCATGCGCATAAAGTTCTTAAACATAATAAGTCGTTGCTGCAGGTGTTGCATGATCGCCATTGTTGCCGCTGTTGCCACTTCCGCGGCCCGGGTGTTGCTATTGCTATGGAGACTTTCTCAACCAAACTTCTGAGAAAGGCAAACATCTCTGAACCTTGGAAGCTAAAGCCAACAATTCAAGAAACCAAACAACCAGTGTTGGCATCCAATTACGGCAAGCAAATGAAGCTGACATAAGTTGGAAAGTATTGGTGTCTGGCAAAGTCATGTAGAAGCTTCATAATCACCTCACACTATGGCCATACTAGTTTGGCTTCTAAAGATCGATGGTATGCAGAGATGTGCAGAGGGCATGAATGTGGCCACACAATCAGCAAGGTATCGGGATTCCAGCATAGATAATTCCCTGATAGATTGACTGCCCAGCTTCATACAGGGTTCCCATCAATCCCCTTCTAAAACCTTTTGCTGGAAGGCAAGAGAGACAACACTCATCCTCTTACGATGGAACTGGCTGCATTGCGAGCTACGGACTTAGCTCCAAGCATTCGTAGGTGCGGCTATCCGGGCGGCAGCCGCAGGACAGCATGCTTTGGTGAACCTGGCGAATGTGCTTAGGTTGCAGCTTTTTGGCTCTGATCGCTCACTTGATGGTCGAGTTCCAGAATTCCCGACCTTTAGGGGGATAGTTGTTGTCGCAACGATGGGTGGCACAGGACTATGCTTCCAGAAAAGCATGCAACAAAGTACAAATATCCTAGTTCGCTCTCTGAAATCACGGCCGGTCCAGGGCTGCATTGGGGACATACCGGTTCGTGCCTGCAGAGCAGAGTCGCACTGGCCGAAGCTGTAGCACATGGAGATCAAGACTCCATGCACGTAGGCCTGCTAAGCGATGAGCCAGGTCAAAACACCGAGCTGGAAGCTCAAGCCAACCTGGTACAGAATTGCCACACATGTGACAGGAACAAGCACATCAAGCCAAGCACTACAAATACAAGGTATAGCTAGCTAAACGACCTGGGGCAGCCGGGCATCAAAATACTTCAACATGCAACTTACTTAATGTCGGTGCCGATTAAACAAAGGGTACCAAATGTAATGAAGTGCTTACAAAATTATTCTCTGCCCCCAGAATGCAAAAGGGTACCTAATACAATTCAGACAGTTTGTCTTTGCTCTGAAAAATATGGGCCCTAATCTCCTTACATATCCTTTATGCAAAGTGCCCAGCCGACAAACTTCCAAGGGGTAGTGCATGGCCACCCCAAAACTCCAATAGTAGCAATGAAAAAGGGTGCCCAATTGTTCGACTCAAGCTTTTTCCAGGCCGAAAAAACAAAACCTACTAAGCCAATACCAAACCAACTCTAAACAGAACTGGGTTCGCTCAAAGGAGTCAAACAATTCAAAACCAGAGGACCGAACACAACTGAAGCAATACTCCAATACTAAACCAATGCAAAGCCAGTACTAAGGCAGCACGAAGCAATACAAAACCAATGATAACAAACACTAGCCAATACTACAAGTAAGTACTAAAGCAGCACAAAACACGACTAAACCAATACTAACCAATACTAAGCCACTACTATTTTTTCTTGAGAAAGGCAAATCAAACCCCCAAATTGCTTTGCCAGTTTTCTCTATTAGGGCTCCAAAATTTGTCTGGGGGGGGCCTTTCTCATTCAGACACCCACCTTATTTGAGGAGCATTCCAATTCAAGTCAATTAGGTGCCCAGATTCAGCAGGCTGGAATGCCTGCGTGGTTTACTGTAGGATTTCTGCACCAATCTACGAACGAGAATATGGGATCTCGCTGTCTTGCTAAGCCAAACAATGCGTCCTCCGAACTCGCACTTGTTCAGCCAGGCGTTTTCCTGATGCTGAGGTGGCAACATTCGGCGTGAAGCCGAACTGCTTCGGCATCTCCTCCCAGCAAAAGTCAATGTGCTTCAACTCTGATGTTGGACCCCTGTCGCACAGGGTCATTTCAAAGGCAGTAAGATGCAACGCTACAGCTATGTTTTATGTGGTATTGACAAACTCCTGCTGATGTAGATCAGGACTGAGGTGCAGTCAATTGACCACATGATTTGTGTGGCTGGGAAATGGCATGAATATGTTTGCCGGCTTCACGGCTTTCAGTGGCAGAAATCGATGTCGATCACGTCAATCGGGCAACTCCTTGAACATCTGAAGAGCTTGGTGTAGCTCGCCCCTGACGGTCATGCAACAACAAATGCAAGAGGGATTCATGCTGCTCTAGCCAATTGAGACACGCAAATCTAACCAGGGAAATTATTTCCCAGAATCTGCCGTACGCTAGTGTCGCCAACCCACCCGCTCGCCCACCCACCCACGCACGCATGCACATGCAGACTCATGCCCACACGCACACGCACGCACACACACTTCCACACACGCATCCACACAAAAACACACACACACACACACACAGACACAGACACAGACACAGACACAGACACAGACACAGACACAGACACAGACACAGACACAGACACAGACACAGACACACACACACAGACACAGACACAGACACAGACACAGACACAGACACAGACACAGACACAGACACAGACACACACACACACACCCAACACGGGCACACGGACACCCACTGCCCTCACGTGCACTTACAGAGTCAACAAGAATTTGAGCATCATTCAAGCATCATTTGAGCATCACTCTAAAGTTTGGCGAGACTTTTGGGGTTAACATATTGGTTTAGACGCCAATAAAAGATTGGAAGCCCTCGACTGATATCACGTAAATGACCCTGTCTGCCTTTGCCTGTGATGACAGGCAATCTGTAGAAGCAAACGTGGATCAACTTCTTAAAACTGCCCCAAAAAAAAGCACCCGACAAAGCAGCGCCCAACAACTCCGTCGCGCCTTGCAAAGCAGAGCCTGACCGAGGTGAGGGGGTGTGGCCCTCTAGGTCTAAACCGCAAGAGGACGTAGAGAGAGAACCGGTTGCCTGCAGCATTCCCCGCTTCCTGAAGGCAACGCGGAGCAACAATCACACACCATCGTAAGATATTGCTATGCCAATCGCAGCAGAACGCCTAGCTCAAAGGGGCAAGCATTGCAAAACAGCTCCAGAAAAGGAGGTTCCAACATGGGCATGTCCTGTTCAGCCTGTCTAAGTTGACACGACAGGTTGCCAGTCACAGTGGGACATGCAGGCATGTGTCTCCGAAGACCAGGATGACCACTGCCGACATGACTGCTGGACGTGCGCTTTCGCATCATGCCAACATCAGCACAATATGTGGATGGCAAAGGGAGTTGCATTCATATTATATATTTATCTATTCAATTATTTGTTTATTTATTGATTTACTTATGTATTTACTTGTTTAGCTATTAATAATGATATATATATATATATATTTATGTATATATGTATGTATGTATATCTTGTAGCGCGTTGAGCGAAGAATAGCCGAACTATAGCCGATATCTTCGGCAACGCGCTCCCACCTTTGAGGAGCCCAGTCCCCAACCCATCTGGCGACTCCAGGGATCTCCGGCTTCTAGACTTGACTGTCTTCTCGAAGACGTTCAAGCTGACGTTTGGACCGGGGAACAAACAATCAACCCACCAAAGTATGAGTGCAACTAGGTATGACACACCAAAGTCCAGTCGGCCTGATATGAGCCGCCAGTGTCGAGTTGGAAGGCCGAAGCTCAAAATCCTCCATCACTGCGATCACCTGACGAATCACAGCGGCCAGTCACCCACCAAACACTGGCGATATAGTCTGGGATTGCAATTGTTCTGCAACTGAAGCACAAGGCACGACAAAAGTCTTGGGCAGCTGAGGCGTCCTGCAACCAGCATCATGCAAATAAAACAGTTCCCCGTGCCCAACCGACTACTTTCAAACAATCCTACATTCCAAATGAAACTAGGGAGCAATGCTCACGGACTTGTCTGCCATGAGCAAAACAAAGGACACTTGGTGGCGCAAGTCGTGACCTTGTCTGCCCTAATTATCTTTGCCGATTTTGTGTCATCTAGGAGCTCAAAAAATAACACAAGATTTGGGCTGGCCCGCGAAAGTTGTTAGAACCCAACAACTTCCGTGCAGCTTCCGTGACATGAACCCCTTCCGTGACGTGGCGATCACAAAGGGCAACACAATACTTGGCTAGAAATCGATGAAAGCCTGGCGGATTCAGAACGGCTCTCAAATGCCCACACCCACATTTCAGAAAAGGCGGCAAAGGATCATGATAGCAAGGGCCTTTAGGTAAGCTCGCCATGATTGGAGGGAAATCTTACTTTGTGTTCAATGCTCGACCTGTGTACCCAGAGTCAGCTTCCTGTTGCCTGTTAACCTGACCAGTAAGGGAACTCAGCAACCTGACAGGTCGGGGAACACAATGCTTCTTCGTGACAAATCCACTGACAAGAACTTATGACAGAGCAATTAGATAGCATGGTTCCATGAAAAACAGGTGAACTATCTAACTTGTTCCCAACATGGAGCAGGGCAAGTGCGCTGCTCATGCAACAAATCCGCCCAAGCCAAGGCTAATTTACTGGACATGCAAACGTGCCAAGTGGAGGACATCCACCACGTTGGCGTTGGACTGCATGGAAAAAACAACACTGCAAGAGTCTAAACGACTGAAGTCCAACCTCTACAGGAAAGCTGCCAAGCTTCAAAAGGGATCTCCTGCATTGAGCCCGAGGGCACAAACAACAATGGGCACAGCTGCTTCTTGCAGGAAAACCGCCTTCTCCACCAGCGGCAAATGTGACTGGCTGACGCAGCCTCAGGACAGTCGGATGGGGCAGTGACACCAACTATTAGAGCAGGCCAGCAGGCAGGAAGGGTTGCTCCCCTAAGGGTTGCCTGTGGGAGGTGAACCATGTCCGCCCACTAAGAACAAACACCGCATGGATATTATGGTCCCCAAGAAGTTCCAAACACCACCCATGTTTCGACACAGCAAATGTGTGACTGCCAAACATATTGCAAGTTTACTACAGTATTGGTGAAGGACAAGGCTATCAAAGCAAGATGGCCATGGGTCAAAAGCCCGTATCCCAATCCCCACTAAAATAGACTAAAATGGGTGGTGCACCTACCCCAAAATGAATCCACAGCCAGATTGATCTCCGCCAAGCAGCATTCCAGGAGAGCGTCTGCAAGCAGCCCATCTGGACGATGGCCCTTCCTGAGGCATGGTCTCTTGCAGGCGACGTGCAAACGGCAAGGTTGGCCTTGCCAAACTTTAAGCCACGAGACTTTCTACGCGCGTGGTACGAATGCTAAACAGGATTGGGCAGAAATGCAGAAACAGCCGAGCTAAAGCAGCTAGTTATCATGTAGAACATGTGTCTGCTTCCTTGGCTGACAGTTGAACTGCAAGAGGTCCTGAGTTCACGGACTACATTGGACGGAATGGTTCCGTTGAAACATGTTCACAGTTCACAAACATATCTAACAAACGCACATGTGAAAGTGCGTAAGGTTTTGCACTTTTGAAGCGCTGGTAGGATACGCATGGAGAAAGCGCTCGCATCACGTTGCACTTCATGGCAAGCGCTTGCCCAGCGAAACAACACCGAAGTTGTTCACTGCACAAACTGCGAGCAACTGTGGGCTGATGGACTTGACCTTTTTCAACGGCAGGCAGCCAATGGCCAAATGGCTGTTTCAACTTGGCTTCCTACAACAGGGATATTCAATTTTGACGCCTTCCATTGCGCCCACATGGCTTGATGCTTGCTGGAGCTGACTCTTGGCCTGGTCGGTACAAATCGATCCTTGGTTGCCGGTACGAAACTGCCGTAGCCAGTCCAATATCACTGCAGTTTGCAACTGACACGAATGGAGTGCCAGGCGCAGGTTTCAAGATGTTGTGTTAAGCATGTCAAGCAGAGGTTCCCACTGGTTCCCTGCTCTTGCACAACTTGGCTGGCCCAACACGGCAAGCCGGTCGTAATCGTCTCTCAAGGCACCTGAGTCAGCCTGCGATTAAACCGCATAAGACCTACATTATGCCCAGTGCGCACCACTACAACGTCCTTGTGGAAAGCTCCCCAAGATTGGCCTCAACATCACCTATGCTGGTGGGTTACAGTCAATCGTTCAACTCGGCACCCCAGCTCCAGCATCATGTAGAAAAAGTAGGTGGCCTGAAGGCAATGCTGCGAAGCGTGCGGCAAGACGGTCTGAAAGTGCCAACAGCTGAGTTCCGAAAGCCGAACAAACATTGCAGGCGACTTCCAATTGGCGACTTCCTGCAAAAGCAGTTTTTGCTTCAAGCGCTGTTGCCTGACCCTGGCCTTCTCCACCGAGGCTCTGGAACCCACACGGCGGGCTGTGGTGTCACCCCGCCTGGTCCAGCTGCCCGGCCGCGCACAAGCCGCGTACCAGCGCAGAGTAGCTTTGGAAGTCGGGCGCCAAGCCTGGAGCGGGGAGCGGTCTTAGGGTGGGGGGAAGGTAAACCGTTTTGATACCGTGGTTAAGGGAAGGGGTCTGCAGAAACACCCATATCCTGGAAAGGGAGGAAAGGAAAAAACAACCCTTACCCTCTATTCAATTACTCGAGAACCAAACCTTAGATCTGTCAGCAACAAATCAACGAACAAACCAAACAACCAACCAACCAAACAAACAAACAAACAAACAGACAGACAGACAAACAAGCAAACAAACAAACAAACAGGCAAGCAAAAGGGCAGAATGCCTCCGTTCAACCAATACGCTAAACAAGCACGCAACACGCATGCAACATGTGTTGCTGACAAGCGACATGCCCAGCAGATCAGGACAGTCCCAAGTCATGTGGCAGCTTCGAAAAATCGGAGCCCCTTTTGCGCCCCGACATTTCACAGGTGCTCTCTTCAAAAGTCCCCAAAAGCGGTCGACAAGGAGTGCCACGTGGTCATCCGTTTCGCCGCTCCATCTCCGAAAAATTCGATGGGCCGAGTGCAGCTTCCCACCTCCTCACAACACTGGTTGATGTGTGCGTGAAAGTGAACGAAAGATCACCTCTTGGACATGACAATCCTTTACATCAGTGATGTAAAGGGATTTCAAAAGGCCAGAATGTTTGCCTTGCAGGCAACAAGTTTTCTAGGATGCGTACTGTGCCTGAGGAGTCGCGGGCTCTAGCCGGCAATTGTAGCGTCACGCCGTGCACAATCCCAAGTGACCTACTGGCATCAACTCTGTCTCATGATCGTGGGCCAGTGACTGATCTCAGCAAGAGGGAACAAAAACAAATTCAAGGAAAAACTCGCGGCACAAACGGAGCGGAGCCATTGCAAATGCGCAACTGCGTCTTTTCGTTGCCAACCAGAACGGTACCAGGTACAAGGAACGAGTCCTGTAAGAAACCCCAAGCCGGAAGGTCCGAGCCTTCAAGGAGCGCGCTCTGGAAGCAAGCGATTGCCTGACACTCCGGTCCAAGGCTCAACCATCAACCGCAACAAACGGAACCCAACCAAGAGCCAAACCATTTGACCAGGTCCAGGACTTTGACACACCACGGTTTGCACTGCGCTCGAAGTCAGGTGCAGAGCTTCATGTCGGGTTTGGTCAAATGCTCGCCTGCTAATCCTGTTGAAGTTTGGGCATTTCTCAAGCTCTGTCCCTGGTCTTCTCTCTTGACGCATTGCCTTGCTGGGTAGTTTCAACCAATTCACAACAAACTTAGCAGAGCTCGTGCTGAGTCAAAGCATCCAAGTGTCGCAAAGCAACAAGCCCACTGGTTCGGTGCCAACCAAAGACATCGTCCCTGGTCACCCCAACGGTCAAGCCATGCACCCATGGAACACTCAAGTGGCACCTTGTCCATCATACCGCCTTTGGCACAGGCCGTCACAAAGAAGCGCAGTGTCCTCTGGTCAACTCTGCCACCAGCACCTCAGCAACTTCGCTGCGCCCGCTGGTAGTTTGAACACCTGAAGCTGAATCTGTCTGGCTCGAGTAGTTGGACTGTTCCACAGTGGATACGGCAAGAATGTTCAATATTCAAGAATAGTCCGATGAGGGAAGGAAGACAAGGACAACCTGGCAACAGCCTTGCGTGCAACAGTTGCCACTGACTCATTTTCGACAGTGTGGTTCAGAGCCAACCTGACATGGCAAGTCAGCACATAGGTGTAACCTTGCCCTCAGCTTCCGGATCTCTCGCTGGAGTCCCAGTATTTCTTTGACCAGGTGGACATTGTTGCGCAAGCAAACACCAAAATGCAGTCCTTCGCTGAGCCACCATAGGGCTCCGGCGTCGCACCGCCTCGATGCAATTGGCGGAGCCCAGGATGTCCTCCCGGCCAAATTCTTGCAAAGCTGATGAGTTGGGGACTCGAAGCAATGGGGGAGCTCCACCCTGGGAAGACCCTGGCAGACATGTCCTTGGAAAACACAGACCGGTCCAATTACCTGATCTACCCCATTGATAAATGAAATTAATGACAGCGTGTAGCTCGGATTGCGCCGTTGGCCGCCTTGCCCAGGGTGTCATCCAAGCAGGGCGTCAAGAGTCAAATGCAAAAGTAACCGTAGAGATCGTAGAGCTTGTTCCAGGTTCACCAAACCGTAAGGCACCAAACCTCAAAGGGCTGCCTCCCTTGAAAACCAGCAGCCTTCGGGCCACCATTTCCGCAACATTGACCAACAGCTTGTTTTTCAACACAAACTCTTTGTGCAGGCAGTCTTGCATCCTTCCTGTGATGGGAAGTCTTACAACCAAAGCACGGGTGTTGGGCAACAAGTTGGTTGCATGACGATTGTCCGCGCAAAGATGTGTACGAGAAAAAGAACATGCTTGATTGGCAACAACATGCCTGTCGTGATACAAACACACACACACACACACACACCCACACACACACCCGCACCCGCACCCGCACCCGCACCCGCACCCGCACCCGCACCCGCACCCGCACCCGCACCCGCACCCGCACCCGCACCCGCACGCACGCACGCACGCACCCACACACACACACACACAACTGCATATCAAATTGCCAAACAACAAGTGGTGCCTCAACTGCTCACGCTCCAAATGGAGTACATCTGAAAGCGCTGTTTGCTTGCAACTATCATACAATCAGTCAGAAGGCTTCGAAGCACACAATGCAAAGATGTCGGTCCAACATTTGGGGTACCCTTTCCAAACAAATCGTTCCTGTTGACTTTCTGCTTTAGCAGCCATACCCGCTTTGCCTGGAGGAGAGGCAGTTGGTCCCGGCGCCCCGGCGCCTGGTGACGTGCTCTGTCTCGTGCCAGGGCCAGATGGGACTCTTGTCCAGGCAGGGGATCAGAGCCTCACATCCGCCGAGCACGGTTCAACAAATCCAGCAAAGCACACACCGGTAGATCAGGCTCCGAATGCCAAGGGGCTGCTCTCGATTAAGACCTGGCAAGCAAAGCATGGGCAGCTCATGGCAGCTCCCAAAACGCGTGGCTTCCTTTTGGTGGCCCATCAGAATGGGAAATTTGATGGACCTCGATAAAGCGCACAAAGCATGAGGTGTGGCTAAGTGTTCTTGTACCCTCCTAAAACAAACATGAGTCATATGTTTGTGTTGTGGCAGAATGAGCTGTCAGTTCCTGATTGGCTTCCGGTTGAAACCATATATCCCCAAAAGGGCACCTTGTTTGGCTGTCTTGGTTTTTTGCCAGACACTGCCTGACACACAATCCCGTTTCGGCGTCCCCATTTCTGGAATCCCTGATCATTGTACGCGGAGCCGCCATCTCAGACGACAAACACGTTTGAAGTACGAATGCCTGGCAAGTGGCAGCAAAAACGGAAACAAATGAATAAACACGTACCAACGTGGAAGGATATGCGCAAGCTCGGCAAAATGGAAGGGGGGGACCATGCCAAGTGCCAAACAGCCAAACATACTCTCAGCAGGGTTAGGCAGTCAGGTCTGCGGCCCATGTGAACATCTCTAACCCAGTGCTCATTAGGCAATATTTGGTGTTCGCGTTTTCGGATTTCTGCAACACGGAAGGCGGTTCTTCTTCTCATGAACTGCAGCCACTCGGCTGGCCTTGCACTCCTCGTACCTCAAATGCCGAGGGCGAATACAACCCGACCCGACAATGAGCAAGTGGCCAGAGAGGCTCCTCCTTTTGCCTTCCCTCCAAGTCACCTGCTGCTCTAAGGGCATACCCTCCGGCCTGTGGCAAACTCGGAAACAACATGTCCAAGTTCACTAAGCTGTTAGAGGCAGGGCAAGTCCATTTGTCAAGTATGGCCACTGTGTTGCTGTACGCCTCCAAATGTGGAGATAGCCAGCAAACATCACTGAAATCCCGCAAACTGGCTCCTTCACCGCTAGAAGACGGGTCCAAACCTCTGAATCCCAAGGTGTGACTTACTGCGAGTTTGCCCACTGGACCCATTGCCAAGATCGTCTGCGCTGAGGGATAAACCACGATCGCCAAACTGGATATCAAGTTGCGGTTGCAAACCCGTAAGGGGGTAGGGGGAAAAACCACTATGTATGTATACAACTGTGTAAATACAAATAAAGATGTGAGGAAAAAATATACATACATACATACATATATATATATATATGTATGTGTGTATATATATATATATATTATGTATATGCGGAAGTAAACGAAACAGCCCTCACAAAAGGGCACGCAACACATCTGGTCGCTCTCGTGCCCTCCGCTCCCTTCAGGGCGCGACGAGGAATGAATTTGGCGTCTCAGCTGTCAGGCCAATCCGAGAGACTGCAAAACATGTCCGAAAGTGACCGCGTAAGAGGGATCCCCTACGCTTGGCAAAGCTGGTATTCAAGATGGCTGGAATATGTCAAAACAATCGTGTCAAGTTTGCTGGTTTCTGTTTGCCGCAAATGGAAGCAACCGGTCAAAGCAAGCACACAACACTGGTCCGAGTGCTACAAACTAAAAATCCTGCTTCCCTGGCGCGTCTCAAGATGAATGCACCCGGCAAACAAAAACATGGTTGAAGTCGCTAGGACTAGCCACCCGGCCAGATCAAGTTCATCATGCGTTGCTTTTCAGGGGAAGATATTTCTGAGCCCGAGGAGCGCAAACTGCACCCAAAGATGCTGGTACCACAGTGCATAGGGGTTGCACACATAAGGGATACAATTGGGGCATGAGCCGTAAGGGCACACAGCGATTCCCTTTTCCGATGACGGAGAACCCAGTCGAACAATGACTCAGTGCAAGAAGCTTACAATAACCTGTCCCTAAGCAGCCGCTGGGACCGACGCAGAAGCCAAGCTGCACAGTATAGCTAACTAGCTTTCTGCCTGTGTATTGAATCGGGGCTGACTTGCGAAACAGTGTAAACTCGAATGAAATATTCAAAAGTCGCAATGACAGCAGGCAATTTAGCAGAGCTCGCGCGAAGGATGGAACATTCGTCAGCGGCTGCAGTCCTCAGTTTCATGTCGTGTCAAACGAGTCATAAAGGAGTTGCCATTGTCGAAAGCATCGCCAGTGGCAATCGGGTAGCCTTGGCCTATAGGATGCAGAAACTCAAACAGGCCACAAATGCTACGCGTGTACCTTCGTCTCTACGACTGACCTGTCCACCCCCTGGTCTCACTTTGCCGGGTGGCGCAGAGGTTTGGTCCAGCACAGCAGCGTTGCCTCGCGAAGCATCCAAAGCAAACATTTGCGCTCATGGTCTGCTGAAGTCTACAAGCAAAGAAGGCGCAAGACCTCCCCGTGCTGCAAGGCAGGAAATCGTACAACTCTGGATCTGGAAAATGGCATGTTCTGTGCGTCATGAATAGCATTATCTTGACTGGCATTTTGTGATGCATCAGCAAGCGAGGAAAGGTGTTCATGCGAATATGAATTCCAAACAGTTGCCAGGAAAAAATCGAGAACTCCTGGTTCCATGCGATTGGCATTCTATCAACCCAGAATGAAGGGACCTCTCTGATCCACATGACCGCACGCGAGAGGGTCTCTAGATTGGCACACAGCCAAGGAACCGCACATGTCACTCAACCGCACATGTCACTCACTAAATAGCTTGCAACCAGCAAACTTCCTGAGCTCCTCGGCTCCCTTCCCACCCCCGCGCCTTGCCGCGGTGCCAGAAGCCTGCCAAGGAAAACAAGTCAAGACTCTCAGCGCGAATTGCGAGGACATTCTGCTCACTTGTGTGGTCTGACTTGAGTACAAACTTGCCAAATTCATTTCGGCCCCTCCTTGGCCTGGAACCAAGCACATCAATAATTTTTGCAAACTTCAGCAAGCTAGTGGAATGATAGGAACTCACACTCCCCCACGCGCATCTTTGTGAATGCGGCGCCTTTGCTTGCCTGGCTTGCAAGATGTCAATCTAAGCGAAGCCTGCCTTGAAGCTTGTGCGTATGTGAATCCAACAAGCACCAACTCTCAAGATAATTTGTGGGAGAGCCTAGACAACTTGGGGGACAACATCCACGGGAGACATGAAGCCAACAAACTGCCATCTAAGCAGCCCGCTCTCTGCAGTAAAGATCACTTTGCAATTGAAGTGATCGAACTGATAGAACCAAAAGATCGGCCCCACCTCCTGCCAATTGCCTTTTGCATGTAGGCAAAAAGGGAATGAGCAGACACTTCAAGTGTCACTGTTGCATTCCTCAAATGGGTATGTGTTGAAGCCATGAGTTTGACATTGCATGCTGGCCTGGTATGCAGAACCAGTGGAAAGCAAACACATCAGGAGTACAGCCTTGCAAACCCGTCAATACCCAAACCACAAGCCAAAAACATCGCCTGAATCCGATGCAGTGGGCGTCCGAGTTGTTAAATCGTTCCTTCCAAACCTCTACGTCATTGTGCGGCGTTGTTCAATCATTTAATGTTCCAGGGTCCAGAAAATAACGACCAGCATTTGCTGCCGCTGTTTTTCATCATGTTTCCGTGAGCTTGGCGCAGCTCAAACAACACAACGCTCCTCACTCTAATGAACCACACGTGGTGAGTGGCATGCTTGGGTTCAAGAAGCACCGTTGAGTCGAGATCCGTTCCGTCTTCATAAGTCATGCAGCATACTCTTACATGCCCCCAAAATAAGAGCGTAGGGCTCGGGGAGGGATTTAGATTGCTGCATATAGAGTCGTGGCGAACAGGTGTGACTTCAAAACCAAGAATCACATTCCCTCTGACAGCCCATCTCATCCTCGCTGCCCCGATCCCAAAAATCGCGTGGTTTGCTCGCCTAGGAAGCACATCACCCTGGCGCGTGGCTTGGGGCTGGTAGCTCAGTGTCCACTTGCAAGTTGTGTCAGCCAGTTTTAGATATGCTTGCGTTACCTCTTGCAAGACACGGACCAATTACGCCTTTCCAACTGTCAATGAACCCCAAAACAAAAGTACACATAATGCTTGGACAATTGGGGCCGACAACTAACCTTGAGAGGATGTCAGCTAGCCAAACATTGGAACGAGCAATCCTCTGGCCGGGACCAAAGAAGACACTACGGCACCCTTTCAAAGAGTTTGTTTCAGTCCTCCAAATAACGGGAACTTGGTTGGAATACCGTCGCGCGTTTGGACTGCACCTGATTAAACTACCCGCCATCCAAGTGTGTCTCTGTCTCGCAAGCCCACGGGCAGGCCAGGCAAGACAAACCAATGGTCCGGACTGCGGTTTTCACATACCAAGAAAGACTCGCTTACAACACCTGGGCAGTTCTCAGCACATACTGGAGGTGTCAGAATGTTCAATTCTGTTCAACAGAAAGCGTTCTGCCTTTCAGTGAGTCACTAGAAATGTCTATGACTCTGCATCACTATCAGCAGTTCATGGACCCCGACATCTAAGCAGCGGTGGCTTTGACAGTAGCTACAAGTTCAACGTCACGCGATGCTGGTTGCAAACAGCCGCCCATTTGGCATCATATCAACCAGTTCAGGTCAATGTCACAATATAATGTGGGGCAAGGCAACGATGAAACCTGCGGCAACATGGTGCAAGATTGCCGGCATGAGTTGTCGTCCATGAGCAGCATCAGCAAGGGTATCCACTGCCATGTTACTCCCGCACCTTGGTCTCCTCACAGGCTTTGGTTGAGGTGACCTGGCTGGAGATATCATTCAGCCAGTCAACTTTGGGAAAGTGCAGGTTGTCAACATGAATATGAACGATGGTTGACCCCTTGTAGCGCAAAAACGAGGATAAGGACCTCGACCACTACAAGTGATTCAACGCAGTGGGGTCCCAGTCATGAGATGGATACAAGGTGATGCAACAGAACTGCGTTTCCTAATATCTCCTGATCAAGACCGTCGACATTTCCAGCGTCCCACCCCCCCGCAGCACTAGTGTTTTAGCACAAAAATCAAAAATGGCATTGTCATACTGAAAAGGGGTGTGAAAAACATGGGTCTTGTTCACTCCCTTTGGCAGTCTGGCTCCACCATGAAATTATTTTGCTGGCAACATACATATATTTGAAAAGTCAAACTGATACATGCATAGAAATGCTATATGTATATATATATATATATCCATGTATCATACTATATATAGTATATTACATATTGTTTATCATATACTATATAATATGTAAAGTAAATTCTACACCATATATGATATATTGTATGTATGTATGTGCGTACGTATGTACGTACGTATGTATGCACGTATGTATGCACGTACTGTAAAGTACTGTAATGTACTGCGCTGCACTGTACTGTAAATGTACTGTAGTGTAACGATTTTTTGGTAGCTGTAACGTAACGTAATGTAATGTAATGTAGTGTAGTTGAAAGTTCCGTTGTGCTCCGTTGTGTTGTGTTGTACTGTGTTATGTATGCATGCATTCCTGTATGTATGCATGTGTATCTGCACGCATGCATGTATGTGTGGTACTGCAATGCGCGCTGCGCTGTAGTGTACTGTAATGTGATGTAATGTAATGCAATGTAACGTCGTGTAATGTCACGCGCTGTAATGTAATGTGTGTTGTGTTGGGTTGCGTTATGTATGTGTGCATGCATGCGTGTTTGCCTGTATGCATGCACGTATGCATGCATGTGCGCATGCGTGCGTGCGTATATGTGTGTGCATGCATGTATGTACGCACGTCAGCAGGTATGCATGTGTGCATGATCTAAGACATGTTCAGGCTGAGGTCGGCGGCACAGGGCGGCAGCCCGAAGATCCGGCCACGCCTCTGGATCTCAGCACCTTTTCCGGCCACCCCTCCAAGTCGACCTTTCCCCCATCTTCCCGCTCTCGACGGCTGCAACTTGCTCCTGTTTCGTTGAATTTTGCAGGAGTCCCTGCTCTTAACTCGGCGGTGACCCGGTCGTCCAGGGACTGGATGGCGACCGTGTTGTTTCCCGACGCAGCTGTGTTCACGGCCAGGTCTGCCCGTCAGCGCGAGGGCCCGTTGTCCAGGACTGACAGTCGTTTACCGGAACCGCTGCAAAAGCGCATGGCAAGATTCTGCGTTTTTAGTCCACAGCCCGCGCGCGGCCCGGCGACGATGGCCCGGGGCGTCTGGGTAGCATGTCCGCTAGGCAACTTGCCTGCTAGCTTTAGCTATGGGGCTACACCCCTGTGCCGCCGACCCTCATCACTTGGTCGTGACGCGTTGCCTAACTCCGGCACCTCTGCATCACCAGCTCGGGCTTGCGGTTTTGCTTGCCTGGGAACCCTCGCGAAACATCTCGTATATGGGCCGTGTGGCTGACATCATCAGGGTCTGGGATTGGGCCTGGGTGATGCTTCAGCTCTGCGAGACCTCCTTCCAAAAAGTCTCTCAACCCATGAAGCACTGTTTTATAGAAGGTACCGAAGGGACATAAGCAAGGCTCATTTTCGCGCATTTTGGCGCCACGCGCTGCCGAGCACGCCGGCGATGCTGGGTCTTGCTCTACAAAATGCCGCAGATACCGTCAAAAACTGATATGCTGAGCGTTGGGCTGTTGTTCTGTCCGTTTTGCTTTTGCTGTGGCTGGCTCGTGTGCTGCGCGGTCCTTGCTTTTTCCCGTCCAGGCTGGCTTGCGGGCTGTTCTTTTTGGGCTGCTCGTTCTGGGGCCTCTGGGTTGGGGCCCGGCTGGGGCCCAGAAAGCTGGCATCATCTGGGCCTGGAGTGGGCAACATGCATAACCTGACCAGCCATATCATAGCACAGGATACGTTTCTCATTAACAAAAACAAACAAACAAACAAACAAACAATAATGACATGACATGGTATAACTTCAAAGAGGTGTAGCCGGCTAGAGGCCGCAGGCCCAACAGATATATACATTATAGACTACAAACAACTATCAAACAGAAGTATCGGCCTTGTATGGTTCATGGATAATTGTCCTGCATATGTATATTAATATATATGTATATATGTATTTCTATATATACACTTGTAGCCCACATTAAAAGGATCCCTGATCCAGAGAGCAACGTGCGCCTGTGTCTAGTGTATTGGACCACACAAACTGCTCATGTTGTACTGGTGTACTTGACCATCACAATCAAAATGAAACATTCCAGACATCTTGACATTGATCAAACAACTCCCGTGCAAATTGCGATGATGATCAAGCTCTGTTGTGCCGTAAAGCTGGAAACTGCTTCCCACCAATGACAACACAATTTGACAAACACAAGATCTCGCAACATCCCTTGTGCTGCTTCAGACGAAGCCCCCCTGATTTGGGTTTTCGCCCATCTAGACACACACCCATGTCAAGCCCGAACAGCCGCGCCTCCGGCTCAGCGCCAGTTAGAGGCCGCGTCTCACAGCCTGTTGGCCAGCTGAGAGGCGGTCTCAAACTTGAAGCGCGCGCCACTAAGGCTATACGTGCACTTCATGTTCTCTACGAAGATCAATGGAACCGACACTGAGAAGGATGAATAGGAGCTATTGGAGGGCATCGGATGAGGATTCAATGCAAGCCTGACTCGATCAGAACATGTGACATGCATCACTGCTTTGACCAAACAGAACACTCTGCTCAGGCTTTTGCAAAGTGCTTGTTAGGCAACTGCTTCTTTGGTCCTAGCTCCGACTTCCTGGATCCTGGAACGCAGCTTTAATGATGAGTTTTCTTCCAAGCGATTCAAAAGCTTGCTGCTACATTGGCCTAATGAAAATCCCCAACCAAGGCAGCCGTGTCGTCGCCAGCCTTGGGCTGCGTATGCCTGGGCCTCCCGGCGGCCCATTCCATCGGTGCCCTTCAGCTTTGCTGCCCTGCTGAGTGCCGGTAGCCTGGCAAGACACGTCCGGTGCTGACCCGTCCCTCGCACTGGTCGTAGCATCGTAACTATGAAATGCCGGAGGAACTGCGCCATGCTCACGTGCCAAGCTCAAATTGGCCTCTGGTCGTCAGGCCGGCTGCAACATGCCGGCCAAGCAGCTGAAAGATCAGTCGAAATAAAAACCAGCCTCGGTGACGAGCATGACGCCACATCCAGGGAAGCTTACTTATCTCCTGGTTGCCTATTAGCTTGTGGAAACAGGGCAGCCTTCGTAAGTTAGTCATTGCCACTAGAGTCAGAAGGCCACTAAACAGCTGTGATCTCGTTGACACCCTTCTTTGGATAGTCATAATCAGCTGACACATGGCCACAACAACGGTAGGGCGGGCAATCCCAACACGAATGAGACAGAGACAGACAGACAGACAGACAGACAGACAGACAGACAGACAGACAGACAGACAGACAGACAGACAGACAGACAGACAGACAGACAGACAGACAGACAGACAGACAGACAGACAGACAGACAGACAGACAGACAGACAGACAGACAGACAGACAGACAGACAGACAGACAGACAGACAGACAGACAGACAGACAGACAGACAGACAGACAGACAGAGACAGAGAGACAGAGAGAGAGAGAGAGACAAGCAGGATACAGCTGGTACAGCTGGTCAAGCGCGCAAAAAGTCGAAAGCTGCTTTGCGGCTTTTGCAAGGCAAGCACTCTCGGGCCCCAGGCCGAGAATGAATGCCAAGGTAAGCACGGCCTGACAAGATACCGCCGCCACTTACCAGGTGAAAGCAGGGGATCCGCCACCGAACCAAAGACGCAAGTGACCTCTGTCACTGTCCCATTGGCAAGTTTGCTGCCTCTCGGTGTTACTAACAACTGGCACTCTCTGCACAGATTCAGAATGCAAGTAATGCTTCCGACTAGGTTTTGGAGTGCGGCAAGCTCGGGGCTTAAAACGCAAAAGCCGCGTAGCTGCACAAAGCATGACAACCTAATCTGAAATCAAGGTGGGGTGCAACCCCCTTTCGTGGGCCTTCAATTTGAAGAAAGCAAGGCCACCTTCAAATGGCAACCGATGAGCCTCATTGGATTGATCTTTTCTACAGGCCATCCCGCTTCCATAATATCGTAATACAATATAATATCAAATCACATCGTAACATCTCGTGTACGTCAGGAAATGCAGTGCAAACACCGTGCTTACGTGCAGCTCGGCTTGGCTCTGAGCGAAGCACAGTTTCTTGAAGGTCGAAGATGTCCGGAAGGCCTCTTGACGCGGCAAACTGCTGGCAGCGCTCCGTGCCAAATTAGTGCTATGGCTGCCGCTCGTCTTTTGAAAGGCACAAACAAGAGCCAGTCTCTCCTCAGCACCTAGTCAATGGACAATGGCCTAACAGTTCTAATTCGCACAAGCCCCCCTTCAACGCTACGTGAATGAATACTTCCATTGATTGCTGCGAAGGAGGACAAGAGTTGCTGGGAAGGTCTTTGACCATCTGTGTGGACCAGCAGCTTGACCAACCGGTGCCAACTCGGGCGCGCGCCATCCCCGCAAACTTCCTGGCTTGTATGGCCTGCGGCCACTGCAGCTGTGCTCCCGTTCAAGAGTCCTTCTATCATGCAACACGGACGGTTAAACCAAATAACAAAAGCTGTTCACGCTGAAATCGCCTTCAGTCCGAAGTACACTCTCCTCTCTGCCTCTCTGCGCACTAAGCATCCTCAAAGATGCAGCGCTGGGCATGCGCCAGCAATGCTTCAGAACTCGTGAATTCTCAGCCAGGGGCAGAAGGACTCGGCAGTGGTCATGATGATGATTCCTAAGCTCCCCGGAGCCCGTGCAGTTTTACTTACCAATACTTTTAGTGGAGGCACGTGCTATCAAGGCAGGTTAGCATGTGAACTGACAAACAGCCCACACGCCGCTCCAAGATCTATGCTGCTGGCGTGGACAAACCGAAATTAGAAAGGCATAACTCACTCAGGTCACTCGCAGAATCGTAGTTTACTACTCAAAAAGCCAACACTCGCTACCTACTAAGCAGCTCTCGCTAACAGGGCTGCCTGCAAACGCAGTTCAATGCCACTGCGCCAGCCTGCGACAGTGGCCCACAAAAGAGACTTGAGATGGCGGCCGTGGCATTCGATTAGCTGCTTACATGGCACAAACTGATCATCAGCAGGATGCCTGGCGCAAGACTGCCTGCAAAAACAGCCCAAAGGTCAGATAATACGGCCGACCTACGTAAAAGCTCAGATAATACAGTTCTCCATTAAGCCAAGCGTCAAACGTATGGATACGTACGGAGTAGAGCGTGAAATGAAACGTGCGAGGAGAACCTCAGCGAGTCGAGCGGTTGCATCCTTGGCAGGACTGGTGTGTAACAGGTTGCAGTACCCAGGACCCCTTATATTGTCATCATATTTTGTCAGCACCGAAAGGCGATGCGAACGTTCTCCAGGGGCCATCCCCTCACAATTTCGCCCAGTCTGTGATCTAGGTTGCAAAGATCTTCTTCATCAGTGCCCTTGTAAGCAATGCTTGAACCGCAAGTACAATATGAAAACAGAAAAAGGGCCCACAGTGTTTTCCTTTCGGAGTTCGAAGCTAAGGCTCGGAATCGAAAAGGTGGGCGTTGCATTCCAGATGCAAATCTCTGAGGCTGTCAACAAGGCCAAGGCCCTTCTAAGCACAGGGTGTTAACATGTGATTCAAATCACATTGGAAGAACGCAGAGTGATCAAAGATGTGAAATGATGAAGTTTGTCCCTGGTGAGCGTTTGTTTCAGGATGATTTTGCCCACTCTGCAACTGCTGGATGCCCACCCAATCACAATGAACAAAGGCGGGCCTGAATCTTGCAACTGTTCTGGATTGGCTCTACGAACAGGAGGGCTCCTTCTGTTGAGACAAACCCGCGGTATGCATATCATGCATCCTGGAGTTTGCCACAGGAGCTGCTACAAAACCTGCGCCCGCTCATCATGTGGGAGCGCGAGCGGCGAGAGAGCCAACCGCTTGAAGCGCAAGACGCAGGACGGCGCCTTTGGCGTCCGAAACAAGCCATGATCCTGTCGCCACCAGCTTTCAACGTTCATGTTGAAACGCCTTCGCCCGGAACCAGTTGCAACGCGTGAGCGAACCCGCGCAAGCCGTGGCAAACTTGATTGATTCCGGGTGACTTCCTGACCGCACGAGAGCTCACGGGACCCAAGACGAATGTCAGATTAGTCGTTCTCTATAACTAAGACACATGAGGACACAGAGTCACACAACTTCTTCGAATGAGCAACTTGCAAACTGCGAGTAGGCTCGCTGCCAACTCGCGGGTATCCGGTGCCTCACGAGAAGCAAACCCCGGCTCAAACTCCGCCAGCAATTCACGGAAAGACTGAATGGAGAACACGCAAGCGCCATGGACCATTGCATCAGCTCATGTTCCAAAGCATGCCTACTAGTCAGGTCATATTAGGGCTGGTCTCAAAATGACAAAGTGCGAAAAGCTCTCCCAGCGAATGAAACCAATCGAAGGAACCCTCCCTAAGATTCCATGTGTGTGTGTGTGCGTTGCTTGGAAAGCAGTTCCCCAGGTTGTTCTAGTTCCAACCCATCGGAACCAAATATGTCGGGCTACCGCCCACCGCTTGGAGATCGTGAGCTGACCGCTCCAGAAAACAAGGGGTGCCCATGTCTAAAGCCCAGGTCCTTCAAGAGATGGTGTCCTCCTGTGTTCCCTCTCGCCAGGAAGGGGTGCGGGTCGGGTCTCAGGGAAGGCGTCGGGTGCGGAAAGTCCCCCAAAAGGTGCGGAAAGTCCTCGGGAAGGGACACACACACACACACGCCTGCGCGCGGCATGTGTCAACAACAACGAAAAGCCAAAAAAGCCAACATATATCTTCTGATAAGCGAGCGTCACATACTGTTGTAGGCAGAGGCAACTGCCAAGTTGTGTTGCGAGGATAGTTCACTGCCCCTGTTGCTCGTATTGTCTGGGTAAAGTGTGGACAAGCCCGGGCGTGTTGCATCTTGCTGGCCCCAAAACGGCACTTCAGGGGCTGCCGTGATTGGGACTTGGCAGCTCTGGCATAGCCTGCCAGGCTTGCTGGAGAAGCAAAGCTACATCTGCAAACCATACAAGGAAGAATATGACAAGCCGCAAGGGCAAAGACTTCGCTGGCCTAGTGCAAATAATGCCGAGTCCGCAGCTTGCGCTCTCACAAGCGAAACATTGAACAAACGACTCTGAAAAACACAGCAACCAGGTCTCACACCGCAAGCAATGCATAGGTTTCTGCAAAGTATGTAACACATCAGTTGCAGAAGCAGAACACAAATTTTGGACTCTCTACATTTGGCCAGCACATTTCTCTTTTGGGCTTGGGTACATCCCAGAGCCACATTAATGTGTGCGTAGCTCTGTAAGTGCCCGGCTGCGGTAAGAAAGTATTCCTGCGCAGGCATCTCACAAATGCAAGTTACTGAAGATTTCCCCTTTTTGTTTCAAGTTTATGCGTGTATGGGGGTATCTCTTTTTTGGTGTACCCCTGTTTCAGATGCTTTGAAATGCAAACATAGCAACCAGATGAAAGCCGGCCATTCTGGCAGTTCCCACGGTCCCCTAGTTTCAGACAAGCGCTTAGAGTGTGGGTGTGTGTGTGTGTGGGTGTGTGTCTGCGCGTGAGCGTGAGAATTTGCGTACGTGCGCGTTCGCGTGCACGTGCGTCCGCGTGCGCGTCTGCATGCGCGTCTGCATGCGCGTCTGCGTGCGCAACCGCGTCCTCGTGCGCGTGCAAGTGCGCGTCCGCATATGTCGTGTGCGTTCACGTGCGTGCGCTTGTGCGAGCGTGCACGTGCGCGTGCGCGTGCGCGTCCGCGTCCGCGTGCGCGCCCGCGTGCGCGCGCGCGTGCGCCTGCGTCTCCGTCCAGCATGCGCCTGTGCGTGCGCGTGCACGTGCGTGTGCACACACGTGCGCGTCCGCGTGCGTGTGCGCGTCCGCGTGTGCGTGCTTTGGCGCGTGCCCGTGCTCCTGCGCCGCGTGCCATGTGTTTGTCTTCGTTTCTGTGTGAGCCGCATTCCTTGGCCCCATGTATGAATTGGGGGGGGCGGGGGGGATGCAATAAACTTGATGAACTTGAAGCAGTCTTACGTTCGCTGAACGACACAGCTTGCGGACTAAGTGTGTTTCCTTCTTCCTGTGCAAGTGTAAAAGCATGCTTTTTCTTCCACTTAACGCCTGCCGAGGAAGACCCAACATGCAAGCTCTCTTCTTCTCTCCCACTCTGACACACCAGCTAGGATTTGAAGCATGTATGAAACCGACTGTCATACATGCAGTGCTTACTTGCAGTCGAGGCGCACTAGGCGAATCAAGTATATACTGGTCAGATCGCGAAAGATGACTGAAAAATGCTTGAGCAACATGGCAGGCAAGATGGCCCGCGGTGCGATATGCAGTTCTGCACCTCATGGTCAATGGAGGTCAGCTGCATGCCTGCCGTCGTGAGCGCACTCTTTCTCCGCCAGCAGTGGGCTATGGTGTAATTTATTCAATCATATGGCCCTCGAACGCCGGGGGCAGTCAATGGAAGCTGTCAGCAGTGCTTGGACCGGAGGTTCCTGCTGCTTGTCACAGCCCCGGTGAAAACACTGAATTGTTTGGCTGGCCTCATTTCCACCAGCGGTACTAGCCTCATTAGTCATGCAAATCTCATTCTTTCTGGCCGGGCGGGGCATCCTTGGTGGTCGCCCGCCCTGCCCCAGGCTCGATCATCACAAAGTCAGAGTCGTTCAGCACGGCAGTGGGCAAGGTGAGCTTGTTCTTCTGTGCGACCTCCGAAAACATCTTGGCGGACTGCTTGGGCGTCCTGCACATGCAACCAAGCGCGGGAAAAAATGCATGGAGCATCATAAGCGTCCTCTTCTGAGTCTCATAGTCAATGTGGATGATCCCAAAGCGCTTTGAATACCTCGAACGCTTTGTCGGAGGGAAAGCAGAAGAGAAAGGTACATTTGTTGGCATGTTGCGTTTCTGGCATCCTTGCATTTCCTGGACGTAGCAAGCATGAATATGCCAACACAAGAGAGGCAGCTCTACGGAAACGACATCAGAATAAATTGAGGAGGGACATGCCCTTCAACTCTTCGACTGATTGGCTACAAGCGTCTCTTAGCCAAGGCACCCAAGAGCCCACTCGAAGTTGTCCATGAGGGACCAGGCGAAGTAGGCACGCACATCCGCCCCATTTTGAATTGCCTTGTGCATCTGGGCGATATAGCCTGAATAACAACCACAGTAACAACTAAACGCGATGGCTCAAAGACTGGCAGCATTCGGCCTGTGACAGCAACACTTTGGCTTGTTGCAAAAGCGCTCATCTCTCCGCCAAAGTGAGGCCCGTTCTGAAACTTGCCCCTCGGGCCCAGCTCTGGATCTCACATGGCACCACAAGGGGAACCTCCTGAAACAAAGCCCCAAGGATCCTTCAGGGGAAAAGGGACAAACAAGGGGACAAACCAGAATGAGCTTCCCAAACTCCGGTCCCTTCTAAACACAAGCCCAATGACTTGGGCAGGCGGCAAGCGGCAGAAGCAATTCTTCGAGCACGCAAACAGCCCACGGCCCAATTCCCAGAATCTCAGCCCACCGGCCCGGCTGTCAGGCCAGCCTTGGAGAAACTCCACGCGAAAGGTGTCCTTCTTCGCGACCTTCACATCGTCGTCGGCCACCGCGCAGCCATTCTCAGTGACGAGGATCCCTCCTGGCCATCGAAGGAAAAGCTTCGACTGCGAAAAGGTCGGTGAGAACTGACCAGTGGGAAGCTTGCCAAACGTCCCTGACGAAATGCTTCCAGCCGTTACCCAAAACACTAGCTTCATCTACAGGCAACTTCAGCCCAAGTCACATAACGGCCGCCATTCTGCTGGTCTGAGGAGCGACTGCCTTTCAACATCTCTCAACCACCCTCTGGATGTGTGTCGAAGGCTAACAGCGCCACCCCATCCAAAGCCAGCTGACGTTGCTGGCGGCGTTTGGCAAGGGCTCGATGGGAACTTTACATTGGGGAGAAGTAGGCCGCCATAGGTCAAACGTTTAAGACCTCGCCTAAATGCCGTTCCGTGCGCGCCCATCATCAACAAAAGCTAAGACTTGGCAAGCTGACCACGTGGGTGCGTGTGTGCTGTTTGTGTGTGTGTGTGTGTGCGTCGTGGTCTCGACATGCGCATATCTCAGAGAATCCCGTCACGGGAGCCAGGACCTGGGACCCACTTGGGCAGGTCTCAACCCGTTGCTGCCTAACTATGCCCATGGCGCAACCACTCGTTTTGCACCCCTTTCGGCTGCTCCTCTTGAGTCACCCAAGGTAGCTTCAAACGGAAAATGACTTTAGAATATAAACATCGAATCTACGCAGAACCTACATTCATAGTGGCACGTATATACATTTGTGCACATCCAACAACCCTTTGTTTTTCTAAGTGACATGTGAAGCTGCTCTTCACAAGAAGGGGGTGTTTGCCAGAGTACGGGTACAGTACCATACGTGTCTCCGAAAAACCTGCAAAAAAACCCGAGGATCTTGGATTTGGTTGTCTGGTTTTTTCGCATTTACCGTCCTCCTTTTACGTCACACCGGGCACACCCCGAGAACTCTCGGGGTAGCTCTCGTAGCTCCGGTAGCTCCGGTCCTTCGGGCTCGTACTCCTTCTGGATGTATTCGCACATGTGCTTCAGCCCCCAGGGCACCACGCCCCAATCCATGTCGCTGCGGCCCCACCTCGGCCCAGGGGAAGCCACGAGGTGCTCCCCTTTTCTGCTTTTTCTTCCTTCGGGGGGGTTTTGGTTTTTTCAAAATCAAAAAACAAAAAAACGAGAAAAAGACTCAGGCCCCCCAATCCCCCCCCCGGAAAGAGGACACTTTTTCCCACTTTCAGGGAGTCCAATTTCCCGACGGCTCCCTGTTGGGTTGCTTGACCAAATCCGCGCCCTTTCAATTGGACGCGTCCGAGTTCGAAATGGAGATCACCATAATTGGCCCGTGCCTTGCACGGAATTACCGCACAGCGCAATGCTTCTCAGTGGCGGCGGCTGAAAACTTCGAAGGCACAAAATCGTGACTGCCCTCAAGACCCAAGGTTAAGAGTAGATAAACCCCCCAGAACAAGGCCAGGGCACCGAGGGTCGTCAACAAGCTCGACCTCCTGGTCGTCAAAGTAGCCACCGGCTTGCACATTGCCCCACATGGACACGGTCTTCGCTTGCCCCTGACAAGTGCCATGTCGCTATGCCGGCCTCCCTTTGTCCCAAAGCCCATCCACATGCCGCACCTGCGTCCCACACCCACCCCAACCCTGGCGCCTTTGGGGCGCAAACATAGGCAGTGGAATAGTGATTCCTTGCGGGAACCAGCGATTCACATGCCACATGCCGAGCACCTCCAAAGCACCCATCAAATGCCAAGCACCCAATCGCTCATCCAAAGGCAACCGCAGGCCTGGGGATTCTGGGAAAGACCACATCCATCGGGAAAAGCGGACACCTCTAAACCCGCCCGAGGCTCAGCCCGAAGAACTCGGAAGTGCCCTTGATGAGCTCCTTCTCCTCCGCCGTGAAGCTCGGGAGCCGGTCGCCGCAGCGCTTCCGCATGGTCTCCTGAAAGGGTTTTCCACCCAATCCACACCCAAGGACTGTGGGGATGCAACCACTTTCTACAGCCACTATACATGTGTATGTGTATATATGTATATATATATATATATGTATTATAGCCAGTGTCCCCTTTGCTTGGTGGGGGGAGCGGTTGTGGAGCCTGGGCCATTCTGTTGGCTGACAACAAGTCTGTACCCAGACCCCTGTCATCGCCACTCCACCCTCACAGCCTCTTCCAACTCCCCAGTCCTATTAATCTGGGGCTGTGTATCGTGAGGCGGCGAGAGAAGTTTGCCGCCCAGTGCAGATACAGTGCCAGGACATCAATCAATCACTAGCATCCGTAAGAACATCGGAAGACTAGCTCTCTCTACAACCTCCTCGACTCACCCCAGGCTGGTCAGCCCAGCTAGCACAGACATCCGCAAGAGATCCATGGAACTCCAACCAAAAAAACAATCCACTTGACATGGCATATTCTCCCAAACCCCACACTACGATAGTGTCTACTTGGTGGCTCCCAGCCATCCCCTTAGCTTTTTAGACTTTTAGCGTTTAGTGCAGGTTTCCATTTGATCCACTAAAAGTTAAGCTTTTAGCAGGGGATCTGAGGGCAGCTCAGTCTATTTATCTGCAGCGCTCCAAGAGCGTGGCGCCTGCACCTAATCTGCAGCGAAGTGCTGTGCCTGCCGCGAAAGTGCTGCGCCTTTCATGTAATCTGCACCAGAGAAAGAAAGAAGAGAAAGAGAAAGCGAAACAAGAAGGTAACTATAATTCTTTTTTGACACTTCCGCCCACTGCTGAGTTCGCTGGCTCCACAATCAAAGGTGCTGGGTAGACAGGTAAACAGACGAGCAAACAAATAAACCTGCTGGATACAGTACACAGTGTTGCTTGTGTTGATAGGTAGACAGCTGGATCTACATAGACAGGGTAGATAGATAAATAGATAGATAGGTAGATAGGTAGGTAGGTAGGTAGCCAGCCAGCTAGCTAGCTGGCTAGATAGATCAATTGGTTGATGGATAAGAAGTCGGCAGGCAGGTAGAAAAAAACCTCCAAACCACTCCACCCGGCCCCGGCCGCCCACGTCCCCCGCGCCGGGTAGTCGCCCTTCCAAATGGGATCCGCGAACCAGCCCAGCTGCCAGTCCAGCGCTCGCTGCGCCGCGGCCTGGAAGCCGAGCTAAAGAAAACCGAAAATCCACGGCACCACATGGGAAGCGCCTTGGTGCTAGAAGCCGATTCGTCCGAAACTTGGCTTGCAGGTTTTACCATCATGGCTGTTGGAAGTGATGCTGATACATGTACTTGATGAAGATCCCTGCGTACCCCTGCAATGGATACACTTCCTAGATCAAGGCAGAATCTACAGCAAAACATGCTTGAATTGCTGCGTTCAACAATAGATGGAATAGGGCTAGTAAAACCGTATGCGATGCCCACCATAAAGTTTCGCAAAATCCAGATCGTCTGCCTCTGACAAGCTCATTTAAACAAGAGTTGAAACCCAACACACTGGCTCTTATCAGGGCGTCTCGCTTTAAGGCTCATTAGCCAAGCTTGAGATGAAGGAATCCAGCCTGGTTTAGTGACTCCAAAGGTCCTGATGACAAGCCAAAAAACACGCAGAATCGCGCTTTGGGTGCTCTTGGCGCAGGGAAACCTGCGAAGCATTTGAATTGCTGGCAATTCTTGCCTTAAACCTGCCCTGCTTTTGGGATGGGATGTCATAGACTTTGGCAGTATTTACGTATCAGGCAGGTGGCAATCTTGCAAACAGCGCGTTGGGGCATTTAGCTTGCTTCACAAAGACCTGAGACTGCGGTTGTCCGTGCAGGCTTTTTTTCCCACCTGCCAAGCGTTTCATTTGCTTCGAGCAGGATAGTGCAAGTCTCATGGCACCGATGTGGCTGGCCGGTACATGCATTGGACTTATTCAAGGTGGTACTGATGAGTATAGATAGCACATCGAATGGAGAATGGTCAGGCGCATTTGAAGAAACCTCAAATTCAAGTTCTTTAGCAATGCAGGTCGACTGGGTTACCTGCCCGGATTTGACAGCACTCAAGTTTCAGACACCCCAAATGCGCACAAGTCACACACACACACTACGCATGCTAGATGCTCCATGCTCAAAGTGCCGGACATGCGGACACCTCTAAGAGCTGGCCAGAACCGATCTTTTCCGCTCAGGGCCTTGTCATTCTCCTCCTCTGTCAGCGGGTGCCTGTGCGCGAGATGCGATCAGCGATCCGAGTTCGTGGTGGACTGCCTCTGAATGGAAAATGGATCCACAGGTCTCGAAGCTAGAACAGTTCGCATGTCTTTTGCCACGGTCACCATATCTGTGGCTTCACAGCGGATGTTCGTCCTTAGATGTTTGTGCAAAAAGCTTGTCGCTCACTATTCTATGGAATTTGCCTGACCCGAAATATGCAACTCTTAATTCAATACATGCACGACAAGCATATTGTTGCGTCTCTGCGATCCTGTGTGTTTGTGTACCCACCACGCCCATAGGAGGCCCTGCATTTTTTGAGCAGCTTTCCTCGTAAGTCATTGCACGGGGAGGGTGGGCGGGTAATGGCATCCACGAGTGAGCTAGCACCTAGGGGTTGACAAAACCTGAGTGTTTCGGCGGTTGTTGCACGCATGGCTTTCGCATCGATGGCCCAACAAGGGGTGCGTTGCAAGCTAGGCAAGTTGTGTAATTGTGATGTTTGTAAGTCCTTTGTTGGCATTTGGGCACACCTGCAGATTTGCACCTAGACACTTGGCAAGTCGATGTTCCAATTTTGGGCACAGCTGTGCACCTCGAAGCTTTGTGTACGGAAGACTTGCAGAACCTTACACAGATACGTGCAGACGGCAGGGTGTCGAGTTTGTTGGCGAAAACTATGGCTTTCCCAGGGTTTTTTTGCTGATGTGCCAAAACGCAGAGGCTCCGATACGCGCGGGTACCATGTTTGTTCATGCTGCATCGTTTTCAAAGTCTTGTACCTGCCGCGAGCTGCTGCCATTCCCCAATCAACTACAGTAGGCCATTCATGAAGCATCTGCGACTTAGACTGTAAACTGTTGAGGGAGCAAGCTCAGGGCAGGTGGCAAAGTTTGTGCCCTGCTACGAACACCAACGCGCTGCGATCAAAGCAGTCAGGAATGTTGGGCAACTGCCCCAACATTGGATCGCGGCGTGCCCTTCGCATAGATGCACTTCTTTGTGCAATCATCAATTATGTCGTTGCCAGAAGCAAGATTCTGCCACCGCACCCCAAATCCAAGCTATCTCGCCTCCAATCCATGTTCAGAGTGATGCCAATCTGCCCTCCCTGCTTCTCCTTAAACTCGTCGCGATAGCGCTTGACCTCAAACTTTCAATTTGAGCAGTCCGCTCCATACTCACACCCAACACTTGTTCGAAGTCGACCTCGCCCAACTCAAGGAATTGCCTAAAGCTGCGCGAAGGCACCTGTGCCACCATTGACCTATATTTGTCTCTGTCTCTGTGTCTGTCTCCGTCTTCGTCTCTGCCTTTGTCTCTGTCTCTGTGGTTGTCTCTATCTCTGCCCCTGTCTCCATCTCTGTCTCTGTCTTTATCTCGCTGTCGCTGTCTTTGGCTCTTTCTCTGTCTCTGCTTCTGTCGCTGTGTCGCGTTCTCTGTCTCCGCCTCTCTAAGCTCTATCTCTGTCTTTGTCTCTGCCCCTGTCTCTGTCTCTGTCTTGATCTCTGTCGCTGTCTTTCTCTGTCTCTGCCTCTGTCTCGGTCTCTGTCTGTGTCTTTGCCTGTGTCTCTGTCTGCGTCTCAATCTCTGTCTCTGTCGCTGTCTTTGTCTCTATCTCTGTCTCTATCACTGTTTCTGTCGCTGCAGTGTTGCTTTCTCTGTGTCCGTCTCTCTAGGCTCGATCGCTGTCTTTGTCTTTGTCTCTGTGTCCGTGTATGTCATCGTGTGTGTTTCTGTCTTTGTCTCTGTCACGCATTTGTCTCTATCTCTGTCTGTCACTGTCGCCTTCTCTGTCTCTGTCTCTCTAGGCTCTATGTCTGTCTCCGTCTCTGTCCTTGTCTCTGGCTTTATCTCTGTCTCTGTCACTGTTTCTGTCGCTGCCCTGTTGCTTTCTCTGTCTCTGTCTCTCTCTATCTCTGTCTGTCTGTCCCTCTCTCTCTCTCTAAATCTCTTGCTTTACCTTGCTGTTTCTCTCTCTCTCTCTTGCTCTTTCTCTTTCTCGTTCTCTTTCTCTCTCTGTGTTTGTTTGGAGTTTGTTTTGCAAAGCATACCTTTTCGCTCGATTTGTGTGGAGGCCGCTTTCCAAGGTCTCACTCCGAGGGGCTGCTTTTGCGTGGGAGAGGATGATGTGGTGTGCCGCCAAGTAAGGCTCGGTGTCGGGTTTCTCCTGGCGCATTTCGCCGCAAGCACTTTCCAAGAGAAAGCACCGGAAGTGAATCAGAAATCATGGTGGCACTGCTGTTTTGCGGGAGGGAAAGCCCTACTATCCCAAAGCATTCCCTTTGAAGGAGGGGATTATTGTTTCCGTTTGGTCCCCTACTGCTCAAGCAGTTCTGATAGTGCAAGCGCACGCTCCTATGTTCTTGCGACAGCCTGAAGAAACTTCGAGTGACTTTGGGACCCTCTAAACTTTTGCACCTTCGGAGATCCAAATATGTGATACCGTGCTGGAAAGCATATCGAGTTGTTCAATTTAGTCTGGTCAAAGCACCTCAAAGCAACAGAAAACGTGTCTGTTTGAACCGGATCAAGACATACAGCATCCAGCTGGGATGTGTATAAGCGCCAAAGGATTCGCTGCAGGGATGTGTGCCTGCCATCACTGCGCATATTCCAAGAGACTTTCTGGGGAATTTGTTTGTGTCTGAGAGTCTACCCCGGTGGACACCTCACGTTGGGTGAGTACCAGGTCGGTGTCAAAAAGAAAAAAACCTTCCAGAATGGAACCCTGTCAACGCATGAAACTAGTAGCAGTGGAGCAGAACGCACCGCCCAAACCCCCAAAGCTACCTTTCCACCAAGACCAAGGGCAAGGTGTCGCACTGTTACGCCTTCAACCGCTCGAATCCCCCGCTCGGAACAGATCAGCGGGTCTCGAGGATTGAAACTGAGCTCCCAGATTCTGCTTAAATCGGGCTGGGGGGTTGACATGAAACTTATGTTTGAAGTCAGGCTAAAATCCAAACGGTAGCTCTTGCCCATCTTTAAGCATGGAAGCAAAGGCTGACTTTGGTGCCAAGCAAAGAACTTATCGGATGTGTTGACCCTAAATTCGAATCAAAGACGGGCTCTTTTGTTCTTGCCGAAGGAAACAATTTTTTGCCGCAGATCCGGAAAGTCTTTCGCCTTCTTGCCGGGGGCCATCTCCCCATTCGCATAGCCCAGCACCGTGGAGCACCATGGCTCATTGAAGGTGATCCAGTCCCTGGCACCGAACATCCAACGCATCGAACGCATCGGCAAGGGCGCGCATCGGAAGCCAAGCCAGCGCAAAATGGCCAGGCTGGGGGGAGGCAACATGCATATATCTATATAGATATCTATATAGATATATATGTAATTGTAGTGCATATACATAATACACATGTATGTATAATGTGCATATAGACATATATATATACATGTGCCTCCCATATATATATATATATCATTGTGTCATCAGCATTAAGTGCATCTCTCACTGGTGTAGCTGACTGGGATGCCGAGGCGCCAAGGCTGCACCTGTATGAGACCACTTAAGATGGAGCTTGACCGCCCTCCATCATACTGTCGCGCCTAAAGAATGAGTCTAATTGAATCCGCGCACATGACATCCTGCATGCAGGAGTGACTTGTAAAGCGCTGTCCCTGCAGCACAGCCGGTATGCGTGAACCCTTTCTTGAGAAAACATCATTCAAAGGGACCCCGCCGCAATGGCAAATCATTGTGCAAACTCATCTAAGAAGTGGCAGCTCTTTCTGGTCACTGCATTCCATTCAGGAGCATCCAACCAGAAACCCAAGACCCATCTACTTGAGACGCAATTTGCTGTGCGTGCAAACGCACACGCGCACACACACACACAATCAACGAATCAACAAATTAGGTGGCAATAGCCAACAATTGACAATCTGAAATAATTGCTGGGGAAGGAAAATGTAAGGAGGGCTGTCACGGGGGGAGGTGGGGAGCGCGTCCGCGCCACCAGCGAGCCAAAGGCCCAAGCAATTCAAAATCTAAAGGCCCACACGCCCTCAATGATTGAGCTGCCCGGTTTTGACCAATTCCCGTCACTTCTGGGCCCCGGCTTGCACTTCTCTCCGAAGCAAGAGAAGCACGTGGCAGCGTAGTGCTCAAAGTCATCGATTACCTGCGCGGTTGGGAAAGTCAAGTGGAGGCCGTTGTCGTCTTGCACACGACTTGCAGTAGGGTGGGAACTCTATGAATAGATTATGGGTCTGATTGACTGGCGGAGAAAGATCCATCAGAAAGCATTGCCACTCAATGCACTCGAAAGCCCTGGACTGTTTGTGTGCAGAACGAGCGGGAAACTAGCAAGATTACTTGTTTCCCCAAAAGGACGTGACGAATTAGTGAGTCCCTTGCTCCACATGAAATTTTGACCGAGCCTCGAAACAGAGGGGAGTCGGGGCCAACGCCAAAAAGCTCAAGCCACATCTCGCTGGGCCTTGCGGCTGAGCCATCCATCGTACTCGTCCTCAAGGCACTGGGGCAGGTCCCAGTGGTAGATGGTCGCTAGGGGCTTGATCTTGGCCTGGCAAACAGCTGGCGAAAATAGGCTGGTCTGAACAGACTTCCTCACGCTGCAAGAAATAGATGTCTACACGGAAAGAACATCCTTGGTGGAGACTCGGGACACCGAGTCGAAGCTGTGTCAACAAGCTTCTCAAAGGCATGCTATGCCGTCCCTCAAGCAAATGGCACTCGACCGAGCGGCAGTAGTGTTTCAATTGCTGATGACACACACACAAGAAAGAACAACTATTAAAGAAAAACATAATCATGAACAAAGGCGCCAGCGTCTGCCTTACTCAAGTATGTCAAGCCCACTGACCAGGAACAGTGCATACAAGAAGTTTATGCAAACCACCACAAACATAATTCTCAAACTGATCAAGCCACTTCTACTTCTCTCTGTACAACCCCTTGGCTCACACACTTCCAGCAGTCCTGCCTTTTTCAGCTCGTCAAGCAGATCATTGTAAAACTTGACTGCCTCGCAGGAAGTTGTCCAGTGACATGCACATTGGTCGCACAAATGCCCATCCAACATTGAACGATAGTCTTTTGGCAACGCACCTTATCATGCACTGTTCCCTCGGTTGATGACTAATTCATGCTTTCAAGCTTGCCGACCTCATCTTGCCCAAGGTGAGCACCTGGAAGAACAACCAATGACGATGGTGGCATGAACACTGAAAAGGGTTCAGATTGCAAGCAAATTGGACAAGGGTGCCCGCACGACGGCTAGCCCCAGCTGCGACATGATCAACATTGTAGAATCACCCTCCTGTCGGCAAACATGTATCCTGACAAAGTCTCTCTTTTAAAGCAACAGCTGTCTTCCGGAAACTTCGAAAGCGGTTGGGGGGCGGCTCTGGGATTGAAACATATTAAAACCGTTCCATCTCTGAGACTCACCTAACACCCACCATTCACTCTCTCCCGTCCACAGATGAAGGTAGGACGGGTAAATGAGAGAGTGATCCGTCCATAAGTCTCTCCAAGAACATTGTTAGGTGGCAAGTCTCAGGAAAGAGATTCACCATCCATCCCACATCCCTTTCACCATCTGGATTCATATTGTGTCTTCAGATGGGACAGAGGGATGAGACAAGGAAGAGATCTCACTCTCAAGCCTCACCCTTCCTCCACTGATTGACCTGCTTGGAAGCGGCTTAGGGATGGATAGATATGCAGAAAGAGAAAGTGTGTGAGAGAGAGAGATATGGAAAGGCCAAGAAGAAGAGATTCAAGCCTTTCCATCTCCTACATCTCTCTCTCTCTCTCAATCCATCTCTTCATGAGGAAAGGATGGAGACAGTTAATATGAAAGAGATTCTCCATCCATTATCATCCTTTCGTTTCCCTTTGGTATCATCCTTCCAACTGCGTTCATTAGGTGGAGGAGCATTTTGGGATGGATTGGGAAGCTTTTATCTGTAGTCTTCCTTCACAAGCTTCCTCACGGGCCAAACCATGGAATCATGTTGAATCATGGTTACCTTTGCTGTCATCTGCACATGGCCTGTCGAAACTTGCTTGCTGGGCTTTTGACTTTCACCGCATAGGTCCAGTTCTCTACAAGGACGCTAGCTGAACCTGTCCAACGTTCCTCAAACCCCCGGACCCCGTCTGCACCCGTCCGCCTCAGGGTTCGGGTCCCCTCTACCTGTGGGCAGCAGCCGGGACCAGGAGATGGAAAAGCGGTAGGCCGGCAGGCCCAGCGACTTCATAAGCTTCACGTCCTCTTTGAACTTATGGTAGTGGTCGCAGGCCTCCCAAATGCTCAGAAAGGCCCAACTTGATGCCATGGCCTGCCGGATTTGCCTTGATCCTTCCTTTGGCGCATGCGATAGTTATGGGAACAATCTCCGCAACTGTGGCTATGGGAAGCCCTCATCTCATTGCTTTCTGTTGGTTTGTTCGATCGGATGAGAATGACTTTTCCGAATGTGGGCTCGCTTTCTGAGACATCTCCATGACACGGCTGTTAACACGTTCATCTCTTCACCCCTTTGGAAACCTCGCCGCACCGCGATGCAGTCCGAGCATAAGGGGACAACACAGCCAAACATCTGCCAAAATCGAGAGCGTGTTGACCATCCCAGGGTGAATATGAAACCGAGGGTTTGCTTTGAGGATGAAGAAACGGAGGTCCCGGTTTTGGAAACTTGTTCGATCAACACACTCTCTGGCACTGCTGGTCCATTGGCACTTTTGCCACAAGCCTTGGTGCCGTTGTCCGCGTTCTTCACCTTCCCAGGCTGCGCGCAAAAGGTGTCCCAAATGCAGGCGGTCCTCCAAGAGATGGTGTCAGCTGCAAGCGCCGGTGGCACTAGAATCGCTGCCCCTTCAATTTCAAACTGGTCCTGTGGTCAATTCAAACACAGTTGTCCTGGGTTTCAACGCTTGCTTGTGGAATCCGAAAATGCACGACGAGCGAGCTTCAAACACCACAGGAGCAAAACTCATGAATGCCAAGCACAGCCAAAACGTCGAACAGCACAGTCTACGTGAATGATTCAGCTTGCATTGCCTTGGGCAAGTTACACGGTTGGGCCCGCCGCTGGAAGAATCGGCTCAGAAATTCTATCAGCTCAAAGCCTGTAGAAACTTGCTGCCATTCCCTGAGATCTCGCCTCACTGCTTCGAGCAAGTGGCACAACTCTGGTGCACACGCCGCCCCCCATCCCGATCCTTCGACTAAACACCCCGATAAATCCGAGCGGTCCTCCCCCCCTCAAAGGCGCCGCCCTCGATCTGGTACGCTGCAGTGGCGCTGCCCCAAAGGAAGTTTTTGGGGAAGCTCAGCGTCTTGGTGCCGCTAGCCTCGTGCCGGACTGTCGACCGTCGGCCGGAAGCACACGCCAACGAGCAACGGAAAGGCATGTGTAGATGGCGCTCGTCTTCGGAATCCAGGGACCAAAGGGAGATCAAATCTCGAGTGCGCAATCCACCAGATACAAAACAAGTCCCTCTGATCCCTTGTAGCCACGGTACCCCAAAAACTATGAGATTGTGTTCACTGCCAGCGTTACCTAGAGGATGGGCATAGCATCACAGAAGACAAACAGAAAGTACGATGTGGAGCGAAATCCCCAACTGCAACAAACCGGATAGATCAGCGGCAGGCCTTCCCAAATCTTTCAAGGAGTTGGCCAGCGCAAATGTTCGGGGCTGTTCCCGAGTTCCCTTCACCCATCATTCGATTCCAAAACCAGCCAGGTTCCCGTGCTAGTTAATCTGACAAAAGGATTTCCCGAAAACATGGGCACTGTCTGTGCAGTTTGCGATCCTGGCGTGAATCCAGAGATTGCCATGGTCCCGCGCACCCAGTGGCTGCTGCTGAAGACACTGAAGCAACACTCCTCTGGAAAAAAAAAAAACTCTTCCTGGTAGACCGGAATCTGTTTATGGTTTGCTTCAAAGGGATCTCCATTACTGACGCATTCTCTCGCTCTTCCAAGGAGCCTACATTCCCATTTACGGAGCGCTCTCCGTTTTGGGAGTCCATGGTTCCTTCCCTTGCCGTAAAGCTAGCAGAGTCGGGATGGAACTTCAAAGTACAATAATTAAGAATTGTGTGTGTTTCTTTCTCTTTATCTTTCTCTGTGCCCTGCTTTCTCTCTTCTTTCTTTTGCCCCCTTTTTTGTATATCTCTTATTTATATTCCTCTTCTTTTTCCTTTCTGCTTCTGTTTTCATTTCTTTCCCTCTTTCTCTTCCTCTTTCGCTTCCTCTTTCTCTTACTCTTTCTCTTCCTCTGCCTCTTTTTGGTTCTCCCCGAGGCTGCGGAAGCGCTGCGCGTGTCACGAACTCTTGCTGCGCCTGTGACACTCTGCGAGCGTCCGTGCCCATGCGATTCCCAAAATGCGCGCTCCAGCATTGCCAAAGCGCGGTATGTAGCGTCGCGAAAAGCGTTCAGCGAGCCGGAGAAGCCAAAACCTGCAAAGGATTGCCCTTTTGCGCGACTTCCACTCCCACATTTGCGCGGAGCTACCTTTCAAGTAGTGTTCGAACACGGAAGTTCCTTCTAAGCTTCCCTCGGTTCTCCGCGATGAAAGTCGAGCTTTGGTCACCGCAGCACCCCAGCCGACAGCCCCGTTGACTCCTAACCGCGATCCCAGAGGCAGGCTTCTTGCTCACGGCCCCAGCTGAAGCAGCCGCTGGGCGCTTCATGCTGAAGGGACAAAGCGGGGTAACCAGGGCTCGAGCCAGCGCTGGTGTGGCTCAAGGGCTAAAGCACCGATAGGAACTCATTGGCTTCTTCAATCCCTTTGCGTGTCCTCTTCAATCGCAACACAGTCCAGAAAGTTGGAAGGTCTCAGGCTCCAAGTGGGAGGACATGTCTCGAGCTTCTGCGGAATCGCCTTCTGTTGGTAGCTTTGGACTGCTTGCTGTTCACGGAAAGAACCCAAACGCTGCTCTATTTCTAAGAACACGCCAATGAGAACCCACGAAATCGGGACAGGAGCGACCGCCCAGGAAAATTGCATCAACGCCCAGTTTCCAAAGATATGGGCGCAAGCTGATCGGAGCAATTCAACCCAGAACAAACAAAGGGGCCGTGCGCCAAGCAGTTGATCCTGAAACAAGGAGCCTACCAAAACCTGTACCCCTGTGAACTAGCAGCCAATAGGGGGTGACACCTTTTGTGAAGATTGGCATGTTAGCCTTTGAGCACCCAAGCTGTTGTTCTTTGTCCGCGCGCAGGGTCCAAAAAGCGGAGCGCTTAGGGGTGTGTCAAAACCTAGGGATCCCTATATCGATCCAAAGGAAGCTAAAGCGAAACAAGCCACTTGGGGGAGGGCTCTTGTCAAGGTTCCCACTTTGTTTACCCCCCCGCCCCCCCGCAGCCACGCAGCTTTTCACGGCTTTGCTCCAGGCAGCGCCGGCCTGGTCAGGTCGTTTGCCAAGGTCACAGCACCAATCCGGCACGAGTCACTCATCGGTATCACCAGCTGCGCACCCATCACCATGACCTCCCTGCAAAATTCCTTTTGTGCCCGAAGGGAAACGGAGGGCCCCCCCCCCAACATCTTTGAAACTTCCCGCCCGAACCATTATGCGCTACACGTAGGCACACATAACGTCCTAATTAATTCAGCAGCATCACAATAAGAGCACAGCCACCGACAGCACGCTAACGAATCCGGCAGCATCCTGATGAACTTGTCAGCATCATGGGCACCACAGCCACAAACCACTCTGCGCTTCACATACTCACAAACCACGTCGGAACCAGCACGCGCTACAAACGAGCAGCATCATGATGATACCACGGCTACGAACCATTTTTTGCTACATGTAAGCATCTTCATGAATTCGGCAGCATCGTGATGCACAGCCATGAACTCTTGCGTGCTACTTATAACCTCATGGCAGCAGCGCCCTAATAAGTTCAACGGCATCAAGATGATTTTGATAGCATCGTGAGGATACCGCATCCACAAACAGTCACACTGCGATGGGGTCAGGGCGCTGGTGGGTGCTGTTCGAAGCGCTTAAGGTGGCAGCGTTTGCTTGGCGACGCAGCCTGTTTAGGTCGCTGGTTGCGCGCGGTGCTTCTTTTGCGACGCTGCCAGGGTGCTGTTTTGGGCGCTGGTCAAGGTGTTGTTGTGCATGCTGGCCGTTGCTGGCGGCGCTTGCTTGGCAGGCAGCATGCCAAAGAGCACCTTGACAAGCACTTAAACAGCTCCTGACCAAGACCGACACCAGAGCCCTGACCACACCCAAACTTTGTCGCCAGACAAGCACTCCAGTTTCAGTCGTCATCTACCAGAGAGCAGCCGGGGTTCAAGTCTGGCTGTGAGATGGAGGCCTGGAACATTGACTCCAAAGATCCTCCAACGAAAACCATCAAAGTGTGTGAAAGGTGCTGTGGCTCAAAACTCAGCGTCCTACAGCGATTGGAGTCTGCTCTGGCCTGACATCCAGCTGCCGGTAGTTGCCGGAGACCTGAACTTGTCCAGTACGGCGCCTCAGCAACGGCAGCTAGGAGTGAAAAGAACTAAGCTGCGGAAGTTGCGCGATGGTTTGGGGTGGCTTTGGCCAGTGACTTCGCCATGGTGGGCTGCCCGCATGTGCAGCATGGTCCCCTCTCTCTCCCTCTCGCGCGGCAAACCTGTCCTCAATGACCAGTAGTGGTCAGTTGACAAATTGAAAACCGCCTTGCTGTCAGGTATGTAGTCATTGGGAGCACGCAACACTTGGCTTGACCAGTTATTTCTACATATCGGAGTTAGAATCCCGCGTGTTGAGCACGCAGCTTTGCCAATAGACATGGGGCAACTTCCAACATCGCCCCAACGAGCTTGGCAGTGTACCGAAACCAGCAAGCAGCATTGGGGCCGGCCAACACTTTCACAACAAAGGGGATTCTACACAGCAGCGGCCAACAAGAACTCTTCAGGATCCCAGCTCGTACTTTTGGGCTGCCCATTGATAGAAGGACTGCCGGAAGCGCCATCTTAAGACTCCGACCAAGCCTCTGATGGAGGCAAGCATGTCCCAAATGCCAAAATACAAGAACACCAAACCGCGGGACAACGCCAACTTGTCTTGGTCGATCAGGCCACTGTGCGCCCCGGCCGCGCAGGCTTCCGAAGCTGGTGACCCTGGCCAGAAAACTCTCAATGGTCGATGACCGGCCGCTACCCTGGACACCCTGAACTGATAATTCATGTTGCCGCTTGCTCCACAAAGTCAAACTCTGACCCAGCAATCCAGGTGTTTCTGCTCCGAAAGCCAATGGTTAAGCAAAGTCCGAGTGTCTGCGCCATTGAGCCCCTGAGCCCTCAGTCCCTCGGGCTCGCGGGTACAGAATTGCCCAGGTGGCAGATGCATTGATGAGCAAATCGGGTTCACCTGAAGAATCAGCAGTTTCCTTGCAATGGTTGGGGATCAAACCAACAGGACTATGCAAATGCAGAAACACATATCATACGTTGATGGATGGGCGTCTACTTTCTGAATGCCTTCCGCAAAGTGCACCCTGTACACTTGCAATCTTCGCTGAATGGCAGCTCCGCATTGACTGCTGCTGCTAATACTTTGTCTCTGCCTCTTGGGAGTGCTTAAATCATCGGCTCGTTCCCGTCTTACATGGCTGTGGGTCAAAACCCTGTACCCCTGGTGAACGTCAAAATGGCTGCTACATGGGGGTTCATCCGCCCCAAAATGGAGGCATAGGTTATGACCCGGGCGGCCCATGGCCACATGACACGTGGCAAGCCCGAGGTGTCGTCAGCACGGACTGAGTCCCGCCTGGCAGTACATCACCGGCGCGTAGAAGCTCTCCCGCGCCTCGAAGCTGCCCGGCGACCGGCGAGTGGCGAGGTCAGCATTCGGAGTTCGGCAAATCCGAAGGCTAAGGAGGAAATACGTCAAACTGCGTGCTGGGAGATTCGTTTCAGAAGCTTTGACTGGAGAAATATGGTTGTATCTTATGTGTTCCTTGCTCAAAAGCAATCCAGTCCAAGTGTGCTCCGTCACTGCTCGGAAAGATGTCCGACAAACAGCTGGCCAGCAAACATTCAGCAAAACCGGAACAGGTTGCAGCCTCCAAACCAAAACCCTAAATCCATCAGCATTGCCCATCTGAATCGAAATAAGAGGGATGGACTTCGGGATGGACTTCCGGACGGAATGCTCATGGATCTAGAAGGACTGGCTCAGAAGCCGCTGCGAACTCTGTCACAGGCTGCGTCTGGCTTGTTTGGGTCCAGGCTTCTGCACCTCAAGCCACGCCAATGCCGCACGCCTTGGAATGCCACGCAGCGATGCCAGCAGCAAACTCGATGTCCTGAGCAGTCACGCAGTCAGCTGAGATTTTGCGTGAGGGGGCCTGCTTCATTTTCTAGTTCACAAGGTTCCCTCAAGCCAGAAACCTGCCTGCTGTTCGTCAGCCAAGTGCGGAACCGCAGCTTAAAGAAGGCCACGTACGGAATCAACATCTCATGTTGAAACATCTCGCCAAATGAACTGATTTCTGCAGGCCATGAAAGAAAGTCCTTATCCAAAGGGCGGATCGCCCTCACCCCGAAACCTGCACCCGCACGGAGGGTCCTGCTCTGTAACCGTGCCCGCGGGAGCGCGGATGGTGACGTGGGACCTTGGCATGAGCATGACTGCTCCAGAATAGATCAGATCTCTCCAGAATTTTGCCGTTTGAGGTGTCCGTTTACAGCAAGTCATCACAATGGGCAATCGCCGGCAAAACAATGAGCAGCCCTCTTGACCACCGGAGTAGTAGGGAGCCCACAGGAACATACAAGAAAGGTTCCACTGCTACTTATACATGTGCATATCATAATTCATAATTATATAATAAGTACCACAGTGACTGCTCGTGTATAGGCTCAGTAGATAAGCGCAACATGCCCAACAATGCTGAATGCCAGCCTTCGCAAATGACGAATATCTTATGCATGTGAGCAGTGCTTGAGCTTCGACCTCCTTTCATCACACCACAAGCACGCCATGGAGCATCCTGGAAAAATCTAAGTGATGCAGAACTACGAACGCCCAGCTTCCCACTTTCCGGCTGGGCGCCCCTTGCCCTGGGATGCCGTTGGCGGTGTGGAACCTCGCCAGTGGATTCTCGTTCGGAGCCAGAGCGGATAGGCTCAGGCCAAGCCCCGTCTCTTGCAACTTGTGTGCTTCTGGGGGGATCGTATGCAAGCATGATCTATCTGCTAGATTAAAGAAGCAGTCAGACCTCTAGGCGACAAAGTAACATACTGGCCATCCACGGCAGCCAGCTGGCAGTTGTGCACATGGCACTCACGCCAGCAGCTAAGCACCGGCCGTCTTTTTAAGCCGAAGCATGCCTTTGGCAATCTTGAAAGTGCACCAGCTGCCCACGCTAGAGCCCGCCAGAGACCAGGACAGCAATGGAATAAGCAGCACTTCCCGGGCCACAACCAGAAATGGCGCCTTTACTCATGAGGGCAAACAGTGTACTCTGTTCAACAGCTGCGTCTGTTCGCTTCCAGTGCCCCGCAGTGAAATCTGGTGCATGTAGTAGCAGGCAGGCCTTGCTCAATGCCGCATGATGCAGCTTTACTACGTTCAAGTGAAAGCATCATAATTTCCAAGCAAATTCATGAACGAGAGACACTCCAGGTTTCAGCCAAAATAAGAACACATGATCTGACTCTCAGGAAAGCAAACGAGAAACACCCCCTCGGCCCCAGGTCAGCAATGCAACATGGCACGTGC